TTAATATGGTTCAGCAACTCAGCCAATATATGTCCAGTCCACGATCAAGACACTTGACTGCAGCTTTTCGTGTCCTGCGATATCTGAAATCAGCACCATCACAGGGCTTATTATACTCTGCCTCCTCACCTGTTCAACTCAGTGCCTATTCCGATGCCGATTGGGCATCATGTCCGGATTCTCGTCGATCAGTCACAGGGTATTGTGTTTTTTTGGGTACTTCCATGATTTCCTGGAAGTCAAAGAAGCAGGCTACGGTTTCTCGCAGTAGCACAGAGTCGGAGTATCGGGCATTGGCACAGACATCCTGCGAACTGATCTGGCTTTCCCATCTGTTTCGAGACCTGCACATTCATTGCCCTCAACCTTATAACATCTTCTGTGATAACATGTCGGCCATTCATCTTGCTCAGAATCCAGTCCATCACGAGCGCTCTAAACATATAGAGTTGGACTGTCATTTTATCCGGGATAGAATCAAGGCTGGTCTGATCAAGGTCCTTCATGTTTCTTCCAAAGACCAGGTTGCTGATTTGCTCACCAAATCACTAAACTCTGATCAATTCTTCCATTTATTATTCAAGATGGGGATACATAACCTGTTCTCCCCATCTTGAGGGGGAGTTTTAGCCGACAATTTCTGAATACTTTTTCGGCTCATCTGAAGAAAGGTCCCGACATCCTTTTAGATGTATATGTTCGTTGGTTATTTGCAGATTGTACTACCGTTTCCTTAGAGTAATCATAAGCTAGAGTTGTAGATGTAGCTTTAGCAAAACCCATTCTTTGTATATAACCAGTGTAAGACAGAAAGGAAATACAAGGAGAAAACTTTCCAAAAACTCTCTCTCTCTCGTTTATTTTTTCTCTCAGCTCCGCATCCTCTGTTCTTCGTTCTTCTTCGCTGCTATTCAAAATCCAGTAAAGAGACCTTCTGCATAAAGATCAAAAGAGGTGGGGTCAAGTTTGGGCCCACCATTCTTTCCCAATGAGTTTTGTCGTATTGTTTTCGGCCTAAGAGAGTAGTGATGTGTGAGCTGGCCACTTCGGTTCGGTTTTTCACTAAAGTAAACCGAAATCGATAACACACAACTGTATCTGTATGTATGCTAAATAAATTTAATAAATTCAAGAATAAATATTTTCATTTTGATACTAAATTTTAATTGAGCATAAAAACATTGGAAAAATCTAACATGATCAATTTTTTTTTAAAAAAAAAGTTGAGTATTTTACGTTTTAAAATAAAAAAGAACAAACCGAATTCAACGACCTAATGGTGGTGTCCGAAAGCTAATAAGTGCAAATCAGTTGGTGGATGCTGCAAAAACAGAAAACCAAGTAAACACTCTCTTCAAAGATTGGCATATAACATGGGGTTCTGATGATAATCCCAATATTAACAGCAAGAATAAGTTTATATTGGATATTACATATGCCGAGAAGAAGAAGTGATGATCCATGTACGGAAAATTCGAAACCTTCTGCTTCCCCATCGATCCTTCTTGTCTTTGTAGTATGAGAATAAGCAGCATTGCACCCATGGCGAATTTCTTTCCGCATCTTCTGAATCGGTTTCCGGTCGCCCAGTCAGTCTGTTTAGCTTTTCGGCAATGGCCCCATCAGCGAGGTCCCCGCCGAAAAACCTCTCCTGCGCCCAAGGATATGTTGTACATAAAGCATTGAATTCTCATTGAAAAGCCTCTCAAAGTGTACATACATACAGGCACTCGCAGGACGAGGTTACCCGGTATCAACATGATGAGGATTCGGGTATCAGAGTTTCGGGCACTCGTAGGATACCCGCAGTACGGGTAATCATACCGACGAAACCCGAACTAAAAACCAAAAATTAAATTTTTTGTTGTCATCGGCCGATGGATGAGTATCCGAAATTTCACATACCCGACTAACGGATCGAACGGATACTCAAAATTTTGGGTCCCGATGCTCACCCTTATATGCATAAGCATGGACACAGCAGTAGAAGTGTTTACCCCTTCGTCAGCGTAAAGGGAGGCAGAGATTCTAGCAGTTGCATCTTCTAATATGAATAGCACCTTGTACTTTCCCTCAGAGTCGCGGAATTTCTCGACATTCCACGGATATGCAGCTACGACCCGAACTACACATCTGAATTTAGCAGTCACCTGAAGAAGTATATCGTCAAAACGTTAACGCGAGCACTACATATAGGCAAAGCAGCAAACGGTTTATCACATGGCAGTATACTATGGCAACTGGCAAGTCACTGAAACTGAAAGATAAAAGCGAAAATCTTAAAACCGAGCTTGAGATTCAATACCTTGTGATATGTGAGGACATCCATTAGAGTAACGAAAGGAGCGTCTTCATGAGCAACCCCTAAGATGCACTTAAAGGTGTATACTTGTTATGAAATGACTGTCAAGTATGTGTTTTGGCAAATTAGGGCAACTCGAAAACACGAGCTTATAACCTGTGATTCCAGAATGTGGGGGTCCAATGCAGATCTTTCTCCAAAGATCCTGACTTTGTAAGAGAGAATCTTAAAGGTAAGACCATATGAAATGTTGCATTTATCGTTCAGATCATAAAACTCATAAAAGAGTTAGAAACCTTTGGTGTTTAAAAGTTTGCATTTCCGGGTTCATTGCATATTGCATCTTTGTAAACTGAGTCAAGATGCCGCTCCATAATCCCGAATCTACTCGAAAGAGAAGGTTGAGAAACTTCAAGTGTTGGCCAGGCTTAAGACAGTGAATAGCTTGTTTATCACTAGCTTCGCCTACTTCCACCCTCAAAACGGATCCAACGGTAGGAAATTCACGTAACACATTGGTAGACAACTTCTCGGGTTCAACATGCAAAGGAACCCTGCATGCCCTGCCATTATTATGTCTAGTTGCGTGAGAAAAAGCTACCAGATTATCCAACGAGAAATCACAAATAATCATCTTATGAAAACAGAGGCCGGCCAAGATTCACTGGCATCTGCTATATAGACAGACTCACTTTGTCGAGATACTGCATGGTGGAAGATCAGTTCCATCCCAGATAAAGATGAACCACCTGTCTTTATCCTCCTTAGAAATGTGAACAATCTTTAAGGGAAAAGAAAAAACAAGAATGAAACACAATGTCAGAACATCGAAGTTGCATTCTTCCATTTTGGGCAATATATATATATATATATATATAATTGGGTACATAAACATAAAACCAAATCAAGATCTATCTAACCCAGACAGATAGGTTAGAACATTCTCCTTCCTTGACATCCTTCAAGAACGTGAAACAGCCTGACCCTAAAACAGAACAAAACAAGTCTTCAAACATGTGGGAACTGAGACTAGCCAAGACCACGGCATTTGAGAGCAAGCACTTGAAAAAATGAGGATTTTCAAGAACAAGAATATTCACCATCAATCTGAATTTCAGCGCACCGTCAACATGAGATGATAATGTTCACTGTTTTTGTCAAATGCACAATCAAAATATACCTTCTTTGAGTTTGTAGGTGATCTCCCATTCTCTCAGATTCGAGATGAAGTTCTTATCTTCTTCTCGCATCTGAAATTTAGGCGAAGACTGGTACGGGAAAAAGCAACCATCGCCTTTCCCTTTGAATAAAGCGAACGAGGAGAGCGTTTCATGAAATACAGCCGTCATTTTTCCATTGATAAGCATCATCTGCGCCACAAATAAGAAACCATTTAAAAGTATGAACCCTGAAGAACATTAATTCACGAATCTTTTGCATGAATGACCTCAAGAACAAATCAATAAACAGAGTCATGATTTGATCAAAACAATGATACGAGGACAATGGAACAATTCCACTCACAAATATGAACTCAACATTGCTTTAGAATATCATAATACGAAAGAAGATGGAGAATCGAACGAGCAGGAAATGAACCGCACATTTGTACATAATCGCATTAGAATGTTAGAGAAGGACCTTAACACGCGAAAGCAAAACTATATCGCCGATCAATTCAACCCGAGGAAGCGATTGGATTGTACGTGCGAGGAACTGAACCGGAAGACTAAATCCAGAACTCCATGGATCAACGATTTTAATAGCACAGGAACAACCTGGAACAAAAATGATCAAATGGGAAGGAACATAAAACCCTAGACTTGAGTCCTTGGATCTGAGAGAGGGAGCTGCAAATGATGAGTTTTACGAGGTTACGGTGCGGTACCGGAGCCGTTCGGAAACCCTAACTCGACGATGACGCCGACGAGATTCACACGGAGATGCAACGTTTTGTAAGCATCAATGATCCTGAGGAACTTGTAATCGTCCTTCATCTCAATGTCTGAGATGATCAGGGCTTCAAAAATGGCTACGAAGGGTTTTTGTAGGGTTCATGGAACAAGAATCAACCCGCGCTTTTCTCGTGGAACCTTCTGATTCAGTGAGAGACTGCAAATTAAGCCTAATGGGCTTACTTTTTGGACCAATGGGCTTATATTTATGGCCTTCCAATTTAAACCACATTGAAATTAAATCGGTTTTAATGTACTTCAACCAAATCAATTATTAAATATATACAGATAACCAAAATCAACTTCTTTGATTTTAATTAAAATTTTATTAGCTCAATTTTTAACCCAATTCGAAATAATGTAAACTAAATCTGAGATTAATTAAGCCAAATCCGATTTTCTTCAAACAAATACTCGTCATTGACATTTTTATTGTATCTTCAATTAAAATATGATAAATAAGAAACCACTTGAAAACTTTTAAATAATGAAACTGTCCACAGCATTCCTAAAATCTTGGATATCTCATTTTTTAAAATGAATTATTGGTAGCCCACTACTCACCATGATCACCACTAAAATATTATTATAAACATAATTATATTAAAAATAAAATAAAGAAACGGAGAAATAGAGTTGAACTTCAAAAGTATAAAATAATTAAACATATATAGATGCTCCGATCTATTGATATTTGTTTCCGGGGGCTCTCCAGCTCATTCGGATCTTCAAAGAGATCTAACTTGAAATTGAAAGCTACTACAATCCTATCATAGTTATGATTTTTTTATTCTTTATAATTTATATATATATATACACGTATATATATATATGCGTGTGTATGTGTGTGTGTGTGTTAATGACATGATTACATGGACATTAGGACAAAATCCAACAGAAATTCGAAATCCACAATCTTATAAATTATAGTTCTAAATACTCTTTATTCATTATTTGACTGTTATACCTAATATTGAATTTTTTTTCGTTTATATGTGACCCTTCCAATAACAATTGAAAGAAGAAAATGAAATTTATTAAAAGAATTTTGTGTTAAGATAGGAGCTATCATAATATAATTAACCATTTTAATATTTAATATATTTGAAGTATAATTTATGTTATAATAAGAAAATGTTTATTTAGAATTGTATTACGTTCATATGTAAAGAAAATACAAAAAAAAAAAAAAGGAAAACCGTGCCCCCACGCTTGCATTGATACGGATGCAAATTTGATGTGTTTTTATTTTGTCTCTATTATCCTTATATTTTATGAAATTTCTAGGGTTTTTTGTCGATTCAATTACGTTTTTTAATGTACCTAAAATGTGTAGAAAGCTAGGGTTAGTAGCAGCCTTTTGTGACCAAATGGATAGAGAACCACAAAAGCTTGGATTATGACATTTTAGCAACCATTAATTGAGATATTGCATGCAGATTTTTCCTAAAAAGATAACGAGAGATTAAATTGATGTAACAGTCCGATACGTATATATATATATATATATATATATATGTGGGTGTGTACACGAAGAGGAAAGATCGGCAGATTTGCCGGCGGCTGATCGCACGTGTGGTCTGAAGTGGATCCACATCTCCTGTTTCGCTTTTTTCAGCTTCCAGTGGGTTCCTAGATTTTCTCAGAATTTTCAATCCGACGGTTCAAATTTAGACACGTGAGCTTATTCTAAATCAATGGTTTGCGAAAAGGTTACTCGTTTGGAATTTCGCCTTAATGTCTCTCCGAATCTAATTGTGTATATTCAAATGCTGTAGACAAAATCTACAATTGAAATTGATGGTATTATTATTAAAATTATAATACAAGTTTCTCAACTGATAGAATTAATTTTGAAAAAATCAAATCTCCATAAGCATTATGATTTCTAACCATGTTTTAATGTTTCATTCGATAGGAGAATATAATTGAGTATAATTGTTGTTCATATGATTTTGGTTTGCCATGTATCGTATGTATATATATATATATATGTGTGTGCATTAATTATGATAAATCAAATCAGTCGAATCGGATGAAAATCGAAATGGGAAAAATGCAATGATTACATTAGCCCGTTAGCCATAGCGCAAGGCAGAATCATTCCTTTCCACTTCCCGAAAATTAGGTGTTGAAAATTCAACATTTATATTCCAGTTTCCCAATGTATGTTTTTGGGGAAAATAGTAATAATAATAAAAATGGTTTCATTTTTTTTTAATAAAACAAAATATGTGAGAGATCGAGATAGCTGTCGGACATAAATAATAATGCATAATAATATCTCCATATATATAAAACATATCACATTTCATGAAGGTTACTGTTTTAGTCATTCTTTACACAAGTGATATATGTTTTTGTTTTCCCAATACACCATTGAACCAAGTCAAATTTCAAATGGGTGTTTTGTATAAATTATAATCATATCGATCTATTATATATTGTGAATATACGTACCGTATATAAATATAATTATTTTAAAATAAAAAACGATACTGTAAAGCAAATTAATCGTTACACGATGTCAAAGATTCATCATCCAGTTGCACAAACCACGTATCTGAGATGTGTACACGGAAAGATCATCCCAAATACTATAATATTTTGGGTCAAATCTTGCAATTGTGCCCATATTTTATGAACAAAAGGTATCTTTCCCATATGAAAAAGTTTTTTTTTTAATATAAACAAGTGCATTAGGTATCATAGTTTTCTCTATATTTATAAAATCATTTCCAATTAAACACATAACGTGTGCATTATTACGTGCTATATTTTTTACATGTGAATGCGCATACAACTTACTTTAGCAGGCAGGAATATGAAAACAGCTCAATATTCCTCAGGATTTTCTGTTATGTTTATTATTAATTTTGTTTTTCCCTTGCGAAAATAAAATTGCAAAAAAGAAAAAAAAAAAAGGATTTGAGATTTAGATGGATAAAGGGTAATTGTCTATATATAACATAAAATTAGTAAATCATCAGATTTTAAAGTCTTTCATAAAATGAAACAGAAACTGTATTATATCATAAACAATTTGTTTTTTAATCAATCAATATCACAATATCTTTTTAAAAATTTAAATTTTTTAAAAAAAAGCTTAGGCATGGGAATCGCATGTCCATCTATCTCCCTTTTTAAATACAAACACAGTAAACCAAACCGTGTCTCATTCATACGTAGTCATCATCAAGTTGGGAACTTTTTAGAGAGAGAGAGAGAGAGAGATGGAAGAGACAAAGTCAAGATTCAAGAGGATATGTGTGTTCTGTGGGAGCAGTTCGGGCAATAAACCTTCGTATCAAGAGGCCGCCACTCAATTGGGTAACGAATTGGTATGTTATTTTTTCCCTTCTCTTCGATCTTTCTCCAACTGCTACATATAGATGTACGTATAGATGTGTGTATACACGTCCACAGGTTTTGATCTAAGAAAGAACTTGTTTCTTAAAAAAGAAGGCTCGCGTTTTTTAAAAAAAAAAAATTCTGGAACATAACATGCACGACCAAATCAAAACTATAGGATTGGATCCAAAACAAAAGTGTTTTCGGTCGTTTTGGTCCAAACAAAGATAAGTCTTTTTGGTCAAATGCTTCGGGCAATCATATTCAAGAAAATCTATATGTTTTTGTATAGACTTCGAAACTTTTCTTTTGGTTTTGAATTTACATGTAGCCTGGAGTTTCTTGTTCCGTCTTTTGCTTTCGCTTTTGTCTTCAAGGGGAGATAAAGAGAAGCTATATGTATACATTTGTGTACACAATTTCCAATCTGTGTAGATTTCTTCAACTTGAACGCATAAGGGTGTGATAGTGTTTTGCAACGGACAAGCTATATAGATCAATGAAACGCGGGGATGGCGGTGATTTGCGTTGATCTTAAATTCTCACTGATCGGATCTTATAATGTGTTCATATGGTTTCACATGAGAGAGAGAGAGGTTCACTATGCTCATGGCTTAGGGCGCCTTAGAATGTGACCGGTCTGTCCTCGGCACTCTCGAATGATCCCTCATTTGTTATCGTTTTATGTAATTTCATAAAATTACGAATGCATATACGTACATATACATACGCATGCATATACATATAAATACACATGAATATGTTATATGTATGCTTACATGGAAGTGATGATAAGTTTTTGCCTCGAGGGAAAAAAAAACGGGCTGCCTTGGAAATCATGACATTTTTTTTTTCTGAAGCTTTTGACACTCCTTGAAGAGACAACCATTCAATAATATATTTTATTTAATTTGTTCATTAGTATAATAGTTTTTCGATTTTGATAGGATTAGCGTGACTTTGATACCCTTTTTATTATGAGATTTGATGTGGATGTGGTCTGTATTGGGCCAAGCTGAATCAACTCACCCAAACGCGGCGATGATGACATGGGTTTGTGACACGTGTCCCCATGACCACTCTACTCATATACATCTATAGAGATATAGGTGTGTTTTATAGATGATACATGTAATATAAAAATCATGATGGTGGAAATGTGTGGTTGAAGGTGGAGAGAAGGATTGATTTGGTATACGGAGGTGGAAGCGTGGGGCTCATGGGTCTCGTCTCTCAGGCCGTTCATCATGGTGGTCGCCATGTTCTAGGGTTTGTTCTCTCTCTCTCTCTCTCTCTCTCTCTCTCTCTCTCTCTATATATATATATATATATATATATATATATATATATATATATTAGGACGTGTATATTTACTGCTATTTATACGGTTCAATTGCTTTTTCCAAAAAACGGTAGTCATCAGTGAGTTTGCGTTATTCCTTTTACTTTGAAGCATATTCCTTTAATATATACTCCATTTTGAATTACTACACGCATTAATTAATTACATATAAGATGATACGCATCTTATTGTTATGCAGCTATTCAACCCATCGTAACTCATTCTGGATTTCGACATATGGGCCATATATTCTTTGATATCGCTTGATAATTTAATATCGATTTTATAAAAGATAAAGTTTTTAAGGATGATGAATTCGTCCATAACTGAAACGGGCTGATCTAATTAGGGTGTTGAAGAGAGTTTGGAATAAATGAATCAGTTTTGCTGCAAACATAATGGGATCTAACGGAGGAACATAAGAACGACAAAGAAGGATCTATGCATGTTGCCTTTGTCCCCTAACTGAATTTGCATGGGAATTACTTTCGAACAAAACATGTTTTTTTTGGGGGGAGGAATTCGAAGAGGGAATCTAGGATAATCATTAATTCGTCCATAATTATTAATTAGATTGTGATTCAAATATAACCGGTTGTGTTAGTAACAATTATTTGGATTGTTATTTTTTTTAAAAATTTACTTTTAGATATTTTCTCTTATATATATACAGCTAATTTAATTGATATCTTTGGTAATTTTGCAGGGTCATTCCCAAAACCCTAATGCCAAGAGAGGTATGTATGTAACATAATCTGGATACAATGGCAAATACATTTAGCTTAGAAATTGACCAATCATATATTTTTTTTTTGTTTGGACCTTTTATGCATTAATTTCGGTATCATTTTGCAACAATACCTGCAATTATCTAAATTACTAGTGGTAGGACCATTCATACGAATGATTGAGTTGTGGCATGTTAGCCGTTTCGTTCACGATAAACTTTCGTGACCAACCAATATTTTATATTATGCGGATATGAGACTTTGTATCTGTAACATATTGCGGAATTTAGAATAAGAAGAAAAAAGTATATCAAAACGAAATAATAATAATAATAATTTGTATGCAATAATGTTGTAGATAACGGGTGAGACCGTCGGAGAAGTCAAAGCTGTTGCTGATATGCATCGAAGGAAAGCTGAAATGGCCCGTCAAGCCGACGCCTTCATCGCCCTTCCTGGTTTGTAATCAAAATTATAAAATAATTTGATTCAAAAACGGTCGAATTCCGAATCTTATATACGATCTAAATTTCGTGAATTTAACGTTGTTATTGGCTAGGAGGATACGGAACACTCGAAGAATTGCTCGAAGTGATTACATGGGCTCAGCTCGGTATCCACCGTAAACCTGTAAGATATCTGTATCTTTGGTCTGAATATTTTTTTAAAAAAATATTACGATATTATTGTTATAGTTATAGACCCAACACAACACATCACGTTTTTTAGTCTCGTAAGAACCTCTTAATCCTCGGCGGTTTTTTTAATTGTCAAGATTAAATAATTATCATTACGCCTTAATTTGGACCAAACCCATTTGTGAAATTAAAATGGAAGACTCGGACTGCATGCATGTGATACGTCATAGTTAATCACATGGAAAAGGATACCCCCTATAGATTTTATGTTATTTTTTAGGGTTACGTAATTTAATGGTTTCACATTCTGCAAGAGGGCATGTAACGTTATGTTTAATTTAATAAAAGTATTGTTTAGGTGGCAAGTAATTAATACCCTAGCTCTAGATTAGAAGCTTCCCTTCTATAATCAAATATTGTATTATAATGTGTATAATTTTTTATATTTTCAACTCAATTCGAAGGTGGGTCTTCTCAACGTCGATGGATACTACAATTCGTTGTTGTCGTTCATCGACAAGGCCGTGGAGGAAGGCTTTATATCGCCCATGGCTCGTAGAATCATCGTCTCGGCCCCTACCGCCAAGGAATTGGTTCGAAAACTAGAGGTACCAAACCAATTTCTCATTATAAATATATGTATTATCGGACGATATACAGATCGGTTTATTAGGTTGAAATTTCGGTAGGAATATGAACCGGAGTACGATGAGATTACGTCGAAGCTGGTGTGGGATGAAGTGGACCGGTTAAGCTACGTACCGGGGTCGGAGCTTGCTACGTGACGATTATATATCTATGACTATGCGTAAGGAAAGAAAGCATTTTGGGGGTTTTTTTGGGTAAGAAAGTATTGTACAGAGGGACCAAATTGACCAAAGACGCACGTGTTTGGGGAGTGGGGGAAGAAACAAAAGTATTGGGGCCATTTTGTGATATCTATATTTTTGGGTGGTTAATGGAGGAAACTACATGGAACCGCTAACTCTGCGTAGGAGGGGGGACTTCCATGTGCCATCTGTACATTTTGGTTCTGCAGTAGCCGAACGAAAAATGAAAATGAAAGCTTTTATTTACTTGAAAATGACTTTTTTCTTATTTATTAAAAATTTACAATTTTGGGCATCTTGACAACAGAAAAAAAAAACATTAAGGGAACAAAAACCTTGAACCAAATCTTCCTTTGCACATTGTAAGAAGAGGAAACACTAGAGGTTCTCTATTCTTTATTCATTTTAGTGAAAACACTACAACCTGCAAACATATGATTGAATTATATTATACCTCTCTGGCTAAATTCCTCACAAACATTCACTCAACTCTTGAAGATACATATAAAATTCATGGGTTTATGCTCTGTTTCTCAGTCACTTATATCGCCTCGAAATACTCTTTGCTGAGTTTCGGGTCGGGTTTCATGGACTTGTCCCCAGGTTTCCATCCCGCCGGACAGACTTCGTCCGGGTTTTCTTGCACATACTGCAATGCCTGCAAGAAAACGACGAGAATGATGCCTCGGTTGATAGTTTTTGTCATCTGGGTAGGAAAAAAAAATCGGGTTTTATTCATGGTTTTATTTTTTTTACCTGGAGGGTCCTCAATGTTTCGTCAACGCTTCTTCCAATGGCGAGGTTATTGATGGTGGAGTGTTGGATGACTCCTTCCTTGTCGATGATGAAAAGCCCTCTCAGTGCAATGCCCTGTCGTAAAAGAAAAGCAGAGTTCTTTGTTCAAGGAAGAATAATTTTGTCCCAACAATGAAGTAGACGATTGAGATAAGACACAAATACTAAACCAGGATATGGATATCAAGGAGTTCAAAACCGATACTGTGTTTATGTTGCGTAGACTGGTATTGTTTCTTGAATCATTTACCTGATCAGGGATGAGTACCCCATATGATTTTGAGATTGATTTAGTGACATCGGAGACAAGCGGGTATTTCAGATCACCGAGCCCTCCTGACTTTCTGTCCGTCTGGACCCATGCAAGGTGCGAGAACTACATGGACAAACATAGAAGGAATGTGCATGAGTCAAGTGTTGCATTACACACCTGGAATCTTATGAAGATGTGCAACAACAAAATTCTTCAACAGCATAAAGATTTAGGTCTTCTTTGGAAAGCAAAATTCCTAGAAAAATCTGACTCAATGTGGGCACTAAAGCCATTGCAAACAGATAAGAAAGAATCCGAGTAAATTCAGTCCATGTCGCAGATTTGAAGGTAAGGCTGTTCCAATTTGGTTGGATGGATTATGTACCATCACAAATATTCACATCATCAAGGAAGAAACCGAATTTAAAATGCAGCAAACGCATGACTTATTCTAGTACAGGGGATAAGAAAATATAACTTACCACACTGTCAACTGAGACACCTAATACTTCGGTGTTAAGCTTCTCAAACTCTTCATAACGGTCACTGAAGGCAGTGATCTCTACATGAAACAAACACGACGGAAAGGAAGCAAAGATGTTAGGATATGGTCAAGCCCAGAGCTTAGTTCCGATATCCTCCCTGAGTAAAACTAACCTGTAGGGCAGACAAAAGTGAAGTCCAAGGGGTAGAAAAAGAGGATCACATATTTCTTCCCAATGTACTCAGAGAGCTTGACCTGAAATCGTAATGTGTTGATCACCAATAATCATCACGAACCACACAGATTCTTCAGAGAGAAATGTAAGAATATTGTTTCGTTTCAATCATAAACTCCAGATCACATTGAATTGACACAGCATAGACGTTTAACAAGTTAAAGGAAAATATGCAAATCAAAAGGAAGATCCTTAGGACAAGGTACCTTGATGAACTCCTGATCAAAAACAGCCTCCGCCTCAAAATCAGGTGCCTTGTTTCCTACCAATGGAAGATCATCCTGAAAATGCACAAGAGAAGCATCATTTACTCATCTGAACATCACCAGTCCCAGGAAATTAAATGCCGGGAATTGGAAAATTTTACAGCCGACGTCGACACACATTTGCACTTTTCATTATCCCATATAATGGGACAGTCAATTCCAGATAAATTCACAGGCCAAGGGAGGGCCATGATGATACTTGGCTAATCTCCCCTTTCCCATATTTTCACCAAAGAAGGTTACAAAAGAGATTGCTCCATCCACCAAACCCCCCGAAAAGAGTGATAAAACATAATTCATCCAATACAACTGCAAGGGCATAACCTGGAATCTAAAGAATGTACAAGAGCATAACCTCGAAGCTAAGGACTATCAATGTCAATGTCGCCAATAAAAGCCCGAAAACACAGATTGCGATTAAAGGCACACAATTCACGCAATACAGATATAAGGGCATAACCTCGAATCTAAGGATTATCACTAGCAACGTAGTTCAACTAAAGCCGTCAAATGGAGATTCGTTACTCTACTCATGTTCATCACAATGAACTTACTCTGACAGCAGAAGCAAATGCCACTCAATTTCTTAACATTATCAGTAGTCCGCATTACAATGCCCGGTAACAGTGGTGACAGCATGAAATTTTTTCTCCACTAAACCCTAACAAAGGGGGAAGAGTACGAAATCGAGAACCCAGAACAAATGTACGAGAAATTCAAGACAATAAGCAAACGCATTGCGGAAACTCACAGCCTGGGCCTTGACGACGAAGCTCCGGCGAGAAGCAGAGCGAGCGGTGGTGAGGGAAGCGGGTCCGGCAAACCCGGAGCAGAGACGGGCGCGGGCGCGAAGACCCAAGGATGCTGGGAGGGTTAGGGTTCGGGAGGAAGAAGGGCGAGGAGAGAGATGGGATTTGGCGAGAAAAGCCCTGGAAGAAGAGAGAAGAGTGGTCGAAGAAGCCGCCATGAATTCCGTTGAAGAAGAAAAGCTCATCTCTCTCTCTCCTGGAGTCTCTTTCGTCAGAAGTCCGAATTTCTAGATTGTTCCAAAGGAAATGCGAATATCAACACATATAAAATAGCAGAGAATAATTTAAAAACATAACTATTTAAAATGTAAAATGTAAATAATCATCAATTCTTAATAATTTTCTATTTTACAAACTTGTCAAAACAAAAATTAACTTTTTAGGAGTTCCGTTTAAAACATTAAATCTAAATAAAATAGTAAACCCTTTATAAAAATTATAGTTTATTGATTTAATTATTTCCTTTAATTTAATATATTCATAATAATAATTCTTTTATAATTTTTAAATGCTTAAAATGTTAAATAGATATTTAAAAATAATTTTATTAAAAAATTAATGAAATTAGAAATTTATTTAGATTATAGGTAATGTCTTTCTAAATAAATCTTTTTAAAAATTGTGGATTTATTTAGACTTTATTTTATCTAAAATATTCTGCTAATAATATCAAAATCTATTTAATTATATGCTGTATGATAGTTTTAAAATCTGAATTAAATACGAGTATCTTTATTAATAAAAAAAACGTATTCGATTTGATCCCAAATATAAAATACAATCAAACTTGATATAAAACCGATTTTATAAATTTTTTTTAAAAACGAAATAATCGGAACCTAAGTATACGTAAAATAAAACCCAAATTGGTCACTCCAATAAATTAATAATCAATCGGATAAATAATTTAAAAAAATGTAAGGCCAAAGATGAACAGCTTACCGGAGCCACACATAATCAAAGACTTCCACTCCCACTTCCTTTCTAATTCTCACAAAAACATCAAACACACAACAAAGAGGAGAGAGCTATGGCTACAAAGATAAACCCTACAAATCCATTAACGCCGCTCTACCAAATCCTCAGAAAACCGAAGACAAAACCCCAAAAGCAGATCAAGCTATCATCTTGTCTGAATCCTCAACCCACAAAACAGAGTTGTAGTAATAATGACCTCTACAGTGTCACCTTCAAGACTCTTGGATCAGGCAAGCTTGGAATCTCGAGATACCCAGATTTCGAGTACGATCCTCAGGGAGGATTCGGATCGGGAACGGCCATGGTGAAGAAGAAGGTCGATGGATCTTCGTCGGAGGGTGAACTGTGGGTGTGCTTCGATGTGGACACTGTTTATATCCCTCCGCTCACGAGCAAAACCACCAAATTTCTAGGGCTGCCATTGCCACCGTTTCTGAAGATTGATATATTGCCGGAGGTTTTTCAGGGAACCATCGACTTGCAATCCGGCAAGGTGGAGTTGGAGTTCGTGGCGAAGTTCAGCTTCTCGGCAGCTGGGGGGATCTACAAGGCGGCTCCGCTGGTGGTGAAGACGGTGATGACTTCAGAGGAGTCGAGAGGGGAGAGAAAGAGAGGGAGAGGAGAGAGAATGGACGTCGCCGGAAAGTGCAGGCTCGTCGGCGTCGCCGTCGTGGATACCGTCGACGATCTCTTCCTCAACGCCTTCCTCTCCCTTCCCACTGAATGCCTCGCCGATCTCCACGCCTCCATCTCTCTCTCCCCTCTCATGATTAATTAATTATATTTCTTAATGTCGAATTAATTATTAATTGTTAATGATGAAAAGGATTAATATCTCCTATACTTTCAAAAAATGCCTTTTAATCTCTTCAAGAGAAACAAATGCTGGATTCAGTTTGTATGATTTTTATTGAAGGAAGTGAAGAAAATTCCGTCTGAATATTTGGTTTATATAAAGCATATCGTATGAAATTGATTTTATATTCTAATAACAAACCTCTAGGCCGGATGCGATTTTTTTTTTTCTCATAGACCAACTTGTCGCCGGTATGAAACTGTGTGATTCAAATGGTTTTGTTACAAATTTTCCTTTTTGTGTGTTCTGACTGAAATGTAAAAAAAAAAAGTGGGCACATATAAATGATTCCGACCATAATTAATTATAATATAATCTACTGAGTTGCCTGTTTATAACAGAAATCAAGGGAGGGGCTCAAACAGATCCCTATATGATTATTCCTTCTAGTTATTTGATTGTCAAGGCATTGAATGTTAATGCATGTATGTACGTAAGTACGTATGTATGCATGCATGTATGTATGTATGTATGTATGTGTTGACCACGCGTAAAAGACGTTCTTCACGGCCGACAATAAGTTCCGGATGAGAGAGCCATGTGACGTTGGGACGCGCACACGCACAACTTTACTCATCGCACTTCTCAACCGTCGGATTCCACTTTGCTTTCTTGTCACCAACAATCAACGGTCCAGATCTTTTCCTACAGTTATATAAATCGCATCCACTTGTACACAACCAAAACATCTCTCTCTCTCCTCCCTCTCTTTGACAATGGCGCAGAGAAGAAGCAAGAATAGGCAAATCTTGAAGACAAAAGTCTCAGTTGCAGACATACGATGCAGAAGCAACTCCTGCAAGAAACTAAACCTATCTGACATCTTCAACCCAATCCCCTTAAAACCCAGAAATACCCTTCACCCCCACCTTAATTACAACGACTGCCACTCCTCTGTTTCTTCTTCCTCTGCCAGAACAGCAAACACAGAGGATCACTCCTCCTCCTCCCCCTCGTCCTCATCTGCCATGTCGTCTCCTCTCTGCTCGTCCGCCTCCGCCGTCCGCCGGCTCGGTCGCTCCGGGGGAGACGGAGTCGCGGTGGAGAAAGATTCTGATGACCCTTACTTGGATTTCCGGCAATCTATGCTCCATATGATTCTGGAGAACGAGATTTACTCCAAGGATGATCTGAGAGAGCTTCTCAACTGTTTCCTCCGTCTAAACGCACCGTTTCATCAAGCCGTCATCCTCCGTGCGTTCACCGATATCTGGGACGGCGTCTTCAGCTCCTCCTCCGCCAAACTCGCCGTTTCTGGCCGCGACTTATGACACGTGCGTGTCACGTGACTTCTTCTAGAACGAGGCTCCTCTTTTTTGTTTCTTAGATCGTACGGTCACGCGTCGTGGGGAGATTCTTCTTTTTTCCTGATCGGACGGTAATAATTATGTTTGGTTTTGTTGGAGTGATGAGGCTCTTGTTTTTTTTCTTCTTTTGGTATGGAGGGAATGTGTAAATATGTTTCTCCCTTTATTATTACCACTGTAAAAATGAAAAAAAAAATTGATATTAGAATCCTTATTTTATTTCCTAAATTCATAAAACTCCAAATCATTTTTACATAATCCCATATAGACAACTGTTATCGGACATGTAATAGTATTATCATTTTCACCCATCCAATGAAACACACCTATAATTAAGTATAGTCGTAATTTTTGAAATGGTTAGTGAATTTAATCGATTTTAAATCATTTATGATTGGGATGACAAAATATAGTGGATTAGGTAACCTTTAGAATTTGATTGTCAGTATATTGTTTAATTAATTACTCTGGGAAAACGAAATTATAGGATCCAATTGAAAAATCTTGAAAATTTGAAGGCTTTTGAAAAGACCGAGGCAAGTGGCCACAGGTGTTTGGTTTTATTTTATTATAGTAAAATAATTTTTTGCATCTTGGGTCTTAATGGAATTAAAATCGAATGAAAAAGGGTTCTGATGTTGAGTGTGAGATATTTTCGTTATATATTCAATTTACGGATCGGATTAGATGACAAAAAATCAGTCAATAAGAATAAGATTTTTTGTTTTACTCATTTTTTAAAAATAAAACTATAATTTTAGCAACAAAAAAAAAGACTTGGCAAATACATTACAATTCCAATAAACTATACAAAATAATTCAAATCATAATATCTAAAAACACAGAGTTTGTCTGTGTCATAAAATCCGATCCTTACAAAAGCATATAGACGTTAATTGAATTAAGGAAATATAAAACATGGGCCCTGTCATTAACTTAAGGCTTAGTCAAATCTTGGAGGTTTTTGTCCATTTTCATGTTTGCGGCAGACACCAAGGGCCTCATCACAAAAGAAATAATAATAATAATAATAATAATAATAATAATAATAACAATAATAATAATAATAATAATAATAATAATATAATAATAATAATAATATACGACCTTTAGCTCATGACATTGACAAACTCTATAACTTACGGTTCAATCCTGTTGGCCATGTGTCTCTATTAATTTATCATATATACCAAATAGGAAACAACTCATGTTGTTTTTTTCTTTTTCTTTTTTCGTCCACTAGATTTATTTGTGGATATAGTTTGATTTTCGGTATTAAAGATCGAACCGAATTAATAACCCTATATTCATGTGTAAAATTCATTTGATTTTTTTTTTAAATCGATTGTTTATTGATTTAATTAAAACTAATTAAACGAATCCGTATCAGGCAATCTGAAAAAACCAAACAAAAATCGAAAAACCTTTTTTTAAAGATAGCTACATTTTTAACGAAAACCAAATCTAAATTAAATAAAATGGGAATTGAACCGAAAATTAATATGAAAATTAAATGAATATATCTTTTCTAAAACCGAAAAATTATATTTTGAAAACGAACCAAAATCCGAAATGTTCATCTCCAAATATGTCTAATAAAAAGATAAGGATTTTATAAAATATAATATTGCAACATATATATATATATATATACATATATACATCATGTAGTGTTCATGTGGTTGCATTGAAAAGCTGAGACAGATGCACCAAATGGCCGACACATCGAACCCAAACTTAAAATTAAAGCTACTTTTGTAATATAAACAAACACAACGCAACCGTGACCAAAAAGCCGCATGCTTCTTGTCCAATCAGATTCCACGTTTTGATCTTCGAAGATTTGGTCTATGGAACCACGTGATCTCTTTAAAATATTAGATTTAGTGATTCATAACATGGAATTGGATACATATATGACCTAGGGCATTAATTAAACTTCTTGGAGCTATCCTATAGCATTCACACTTCGAAGGACCAAAACATGATTTATGCTTTGTATAACGGTGGCAAGGGAAAATCACTCAAATAACCCACTTGGGTCGCATTTATTTCAGTGTACCCCACCGAAAAAAAAAATTCAATTTTAACCCACTTTTCGATTGGAAAAGTCCGAAATACCCTTTTCGTTTTATTTTTTGCGACCTTATTACGACTAACATATAACTGATATACAACTAAAATAAGACAGATGATTTTTTTGCCACCTTTTTTAGAATCAATTGTAACTATATTTAGACTTAATTACGAAGTCGTAATAACGAAGTTGTTTTCGAACGGATAAATATCGTAATTCATTAAGGGTAATTTCGTCTTTTCACAAGAAAAAAATGTGTTATGTTTTCGGTGGTGTATATGTGAAATAGATGCGACCCAAGTGGGTTATTTGAGTAAAAAACCCTAATGGCAAGGAGATTCATTGAGATAAAAGGATTACCATAGCAAATAGTAATTCATAAGAATATATACGTGGATAATACGTACGGTTTGTTGATTTTGAGATTGATTATCAACTATAAATTTATAAACGTGGCTGGTTTGGCCATTAATTAGATCAAGACCCATGTAGGTAATTTCCAATGGAGAAAAATGTATATATACAACTCTATGAAATGGTATCAAATAATGTGAAATATTTTGAAATTTAATATTATAAATCGTTTGTAAAATTGATTAGCCGAAATGGAAGGTCCATGCAGACAAGAAGACATAAGAGGCCTATAGGCAACGTGTGATCAACTTTCTATCTTTTGCTTTCCCAAAATGAAGAAGAGATAAATTAATATACACACAAGAAGAGATAATGAGTCTCCATTAATCTTCATCGGCGAAAATTTTTTATTTATTTTTATAACCGGATGATTTTCCGGGCCTTCGACCTGACTATATCCACCATAAATCCGGGATCAGCCTTTGTATATGTACCATTTTGATCCATAAATTACATATCTCTCCATCCAGTGGAATCGAACCCAAGACCTTGATGATGAAACAATTTTTATTGCACCTTTCGATGAAAACCCTCAATTCGTAACGAAATTCTTTTATTGGCAGCGAAAACGTTACGTTGTAAATTTTGCAATTGATGTGTTTTTTGTTTTTTATTTAAGTGTAAGTTAGGGTTTTTCATTATTTTATGTGGTAATCCTAGGGACACTTTTTATTTGACAAGTCGATGTAACATATGGGAGACACCTTAGAAACGGGCTTTAGGGTTTTATATCAATGCATGTTGGGCTGAGACATGACGCATAACATCTTCAGTGAATGATTGATTTAAGAAGGCAAGAGCAAGGGGCAAAAAGATAAATTCACAAAAAATAAGAAACGAAAGTAAATGAAATTAAATATCTCATAATTAGAATAAAAAATATATCAGGCTACTAAAAACTTCCCAATATTATTAAATTTCTACTAGAATATTAATATATTTAATCTTATTTAAATTCTTTTGATAGAAACATGTATATTTTAATGTAGAAATTCTGCTATGAAAGTTTATGTATTTGTCATATACTTCATTTTTTTTATTATTATCATCGTTGTTACTATTATTATTTCATAAGTTTGGAGGAGGAGTGGAATTAAATTCGTATTTATCATCTGACGTAACGCTCATTATTCTCAACCGTCTCAATTACTACGGCATTTATGTGATTTTAATGATGATCTAAATCTATTATACAAATATATATATATATATATATATATAGAACAACCTTTCCATTTCTTCTTTTTATTTTTTAAATGCCCTGAACTACTCCCAGCTCTCCCCCTTCAATTTTTAACCAATTTTTTCATACTTTTTTCCACATATCATCATCATCATCATTATATGGTTAGCAGAATCTAATCATGCTTAGGAACACAGCATGATTAATGGAAAAATATACAACAGATTTTGTAATTTTTTTTCCATTTGCAGATCTCGTGAAAGTTTCTGCTTGTCTCTAATTAACCATGCATCTCTCGCATAAATAAAAATTTGTTTTTTTTTTTAAAAAAAAAAGGCCGTATCGGATTTGGATAAAACTTGGGTTTGCATTCTTTTTCTTCCTTCCGTTTTTGCAGGAACGTCCAGTTTCACTCTCATTTAGCGTTTTGCATCTGAGCAAATTCTCAATCTGGACAGAACATAATCAGAAAGTCTCCCGAGTTTGGGAACTTCGAAACCAAAAAAAAAAAGATTTTTTTTTATTGTAGAGTGGGGTCTAGGGTTCTCCGAGAATACGTGGGTTTTTGGTGGGACCAATGTCTCTCTCTTTGCCTGATCTTACTGCCATTGCCATGGGCATGGGTTCTTCCAAAACTGTTTTTTTTCTTTCAAAAAAAGTACAAGGAATCTATGTATGATTTTCTTCTGGGGATCTGCTAAAATGCAAAGTTCCACGAATGCATATACACGCACATATATACATACATGTAGAGTTTTGCCGGTGAATGCATTTTTTTTGCATACCCACGTACCCAAGATTCGATCTTTCAGCGTCACGAACTTAAAAATTTCATCTTTTTCACCGGTGAATGCATGGTTTCTTACAAACCCACGTGAGAAAGATTCATTCTTTGGACCGCATGTTACGTTTTTCTTTGTTTTGTTTTTAGAAAAAAAAACATCTTTTTTTGCAAGAAATTGGGCGGAGAGCTGATCAATGAGAAGGAAAGAAGAAATATATAACGCCGTAATCTTCTTCCATAAAGACCCAACTGGCAGACAATTTATATTAAAATAGCCAAAGAAAAGCTAGTGCTATTCGCGCTCCACTTTTTTGTCTGTCTGAAAATGATTTCTAGAACCCTAGTTTCATATCCGAGCTTTTTTGCCCTGTTTTTGATAAAGTGGAGCGTGATTAGCACTGCTCTCAGTCAAACAGCTACATTAATCGCCTAAAACGACACACGGAGAGAGAAATAGAGAGAGAGAGAGAGAGAAAGAAGGTGAAAGAAAACAGAGGATTGACTGATTACTCCTTCATACCCACGACGGCGCGTGGCACTCAGTTTCGCCGGTTCTTCCCTCTGGCGGCGGCGTTAGCGTTAGGGTTCTCGCGTAGGAAATCGAGAAGAACAGTGCTCTTGCATTTAGGGCACTTGGGATCATCCTCAGAGAGCATAACGTACATAAGACAACGAGGACAACCTACGAGGACCATTGAGGTGGTCTCAGGGCTCGTGGAGTATCTGACTGATGACTCCTCGTTGTTGATGAGCTCCGACGAGAGGCATGATATCGGCGGAGACGTCGGCGACGTCGTGGCCGAGCGGCTCGGAGACCGGACCCTCCTCCGGTTACCTCCTCTCCTCGGCGACAGGTTCAGCTTCAGCTCCAGTTTCTGGCCGTTCCCGTTCCTCCTACTCATCTTTTTATTTTGGATAATCCGAATTTTCTTTCCTGATGAGCCCTGTTTGCGAAATTGATCAGTTCACTTCAGGAGACGCGAGAGAGATAGAGAGAGGAGAGAGAGAGAAAGGGTTTCGAGTCATACTTACCTTGGAGATGAAGAAATCTCTGGATTCAGGAGGGTTTTGTGCGGCTTCTTCTTCTTCTTACAACATATGGAGGAGGGTCTCTAGTGGTGGAGGTGGGATTGCTTCAGCGGAGGCCATTATATACAAGAATCCAAGCACATAACATAGAGAGATGGTTATGTCATTAAGGCTTAATTTAATTTTGAGAGAAGGAGCTCTAAGAGGAGAGAGAGAGAGGGTCATAAATATCGATTGGAACTATTGGGTACATTACATGTTAATTGCTCGAGTGTTAGTTTTATATATATTATCGAAGTTAAGTCTCAACAATTCAAAGATAAATTTGCAGGAATCCAATTCATTGCTTTGTTGGGATATATACATATATATATATATATATATATATATATATATATATATATATATAGAGAGAGAGAGAGAGAGAGAGTTAAAAACTTGAAAATGGCGAAGGAAAAGAACAAGAAAGGTTTTAAAGACATAATAGCAGAGATTTAAAACCCGACCCAACACCATTTTTATTTTTCTTGGTAGGAGTTAATTAATATAAGGAACCAAGAAATTAAATGGCAACCAATGGGGATTAGGTGTTACAAAATTGAATACTCAGAATTTATTTATTTATTTGTTTCGAAATAAATATGTACAGTCAAAATTAAATTGAAATTAAAGAAAGACCAACAAAAAATTTAATGGCAACACACCAGAATTGGTACAGCTAACCCAAATACCACGCATATAAAGGGAACCACCTCCTGACCATGTTTTATTACGTTTCATGAAAATAATAATGATAATATTTTAAGAAATATCAAAATAGCCCTTGTATCTTCGTCGAACTCTCATTTTCCTCCCCGTAAATCTCTCTTTTCGATGAACAGGGGTTTTATTCGAAAAAAAAAATCATGAGGGTTTTATTCTGGTTAAGATCACGTTTTGGATTCCATTTTCGTTAAACAGAAAATTATTTTCTAAAAACAATTTTTCTTTTTAATTTTTTATTAGATTGGCCGTCGATTTTCATTTTCATTAAATAGAAAATTATGTATATGTTTCTACAATATACGTGTCTACAAATACAGGTGTCTTAATCCAAGGAAGGCGTGAATTAAATGAATATTAATATTAATCACATGATTACAAACATAATAAAGTACAAAACTATTATGACTACAATATCGCGTAGCTTCACACCAAAGGCAAAAACCCTAATATATGTGATGTGATAATTTCCCATGTGAAGTTATTAAATGTCATTTGGAATAACGTTTTTTTTCCTTTCCTAATTGATCCATCATTTTAAATAATACACAGATAATACTATAATAATATCTTAAAATTAAATTAAATAGAAACGAATAATATATGATAAATATAATATTTGACTCAAATCTGATCTAAAATTCAAAATTTGGTTGAATATAATTGTATATGATCAAATTAACCCAATCTGAAGATAAAATTCACATAAAAAAATTGAATCAATGTGAACATATCTTTTAAAAATATAATCATTACACAAAAAGTCTAACGCAACTGGAACATAAAATTGAATAACTTCTTTGAGATATAGACACAATTACGGGAAAATGTATTTGTAATGCAAAGTGTGTTCAACATTTGAAATATCTGATTATATACTATCCATGTACTATTATTTTCTTGAAACTTTATCATATTTGGAAATATTTGTAGAGTTAATGTCCATTTTCTCTGGAAATAGAATGTAAGTGTCATTATTAGGCTCGTTATAAAAATGAAACGAGAATTATAATTATAAATTTATTATATATAGTTATAAAAATTAAATTATACCACATGAAATCTAGTGGGACTATCTAATAATAGTGTAGGATATAAGTGTTTGAAAAAAGTTATTTAGAAAATAAAAATAGAAAATCATCGTAGAATTTGAGGTATATAGTTCATGCATTCTTTTTTATAAAATGGAATGACGTTGTTTCACACATTTTAAATAAAACATAATTATTCACACCAATTATATATATGATCTAAAATAAGAGGCAAATTAAAATAAATGGAATGTTGATAATTTTATATATATATATATATATATTTCCCATGAAAAAGAATGAGAAAAACGGGTCAAATCAAATGTATAATCAGAGAATATGTATAAATTTAGATAGAAAGATTAAAAAAAACATAAAAGTGTAAGTAATGAAAAATGGTCGTTGTCGTGAGACCGAGTCAAAGCGTCTGAACCCAATCTAATGTACTTCTCCTAATTTTTATGACAACGATATCTCTTCTCTTCATATCTAATCTTTGTTTCTTTTGGTCTAATTTTTCATTTTTTTCCCGCAAACATAAATCTTTTGTATTTAAATTTTTGTTATATTTATATTTTAGAAGTGTTTGCTTGAGGAAAACCCTTTGGTATTTCTCTTGAAAATAAAACGACATTCTTCGCATGTTTGACAATTTGATTATTAATGGATATAATAAGATTTTTTTTTATAAAAATGACATAATAAGATTGATATGGTAGGTAGTTTGTAATATATCAGAATAATGTGTATCATTCTATTTTCTTTTGACCATGTGATATTACTCTTCTACGGTTTTGCATCATTGAGTATGCAATTCGATTCATTTCAATTATTCGAACCCGAATGTCAACCCTATGCTTAATTAATTAATTTGCACAAAATCATCAATACCAAGATTGTATGAGAAATCATTGTGAAAGATTTCTTTTATATACATATATATATATGTGTATATATATTAAAGCAAAAGTCATTCAACAATGATACGTTTTCCTATCTACCGAGTTCTTTCCATATTAATGCGGTTTCATTACAATTATTTATTATTCCATTGAAAAGTCTGACGATTAAATTCAAATAAAAATGATATACATACACATAACCATAACACGTATATATATATATATATACATACACACATGAATGGGCCTTAAGTATCAGCAACTGCTCACTGGCCCGAATATTAAATGAAGAAACAAAAAGCAGAGCATTTGGGCTTTGAAGGCAAAGCATTTTGTGGCCTATCTCTCTCTCTCTCTCTCTCTCTCTCTTCTTCCCATTAATGCCTTTCAAGTTATGAAGAAAACCATCCTTACACACTTGATTGAGCCTCACAGAATCAGTACAATCTCTCCTCCTCTTTTAAAGTCCTCAACCACATACATACATATACACATATATATACACATACACACACACACACACAAAGAAAAATTCATTTTTTTTTCCTATCTTCATATCTTAAACTTGATCTATAGGACCACTGCTCTTTGATTCCCTCCTTTCGGAGTACAAAGGCTATGGAGTATTATTGGATAGTAACACCATTGGTATAAGTCGCTTTCGGGGGATATAGAGGGAAAGCGTTAAATGGCAAAGAGGGTGAGGTCGATACCTAGGGTATGATGTATGGCGGTATTCGGGGGTACGAAAACCGGTCATTTTAGGTGTTTTTGACTGATGATAAGACAAGCTCTCAGTTTTCAAGAATCTTGATCCGACCCAAAGCCCGGGAGAGATGTGTCTTCATTCTGCTGCACAATGTAGGGGATGTCGTGTTAGATGAGGGCTAAACGTGTAAACCAAACAAACCTAAGAGAAGTTTCATCGGTGTTGTAAATCTGGAAAAGATTGCAAGACAGCCATGACATAAGCAAAGGACCTTCACATAATGAAAGATTGCTCCTTTACACCAGTTTCTGAAGATATGAGACCCTTTTCTGGTCTCCACCACAACAGCTTATTTGATATCTATTGAGCAATCAAAGTGATTTGACATCTCAGAAAGAAAAACTAGATGATGGGTTCCTCCGTAAGGTCGATATGAAAATGCGACATGTGATAACTTTCAAGACCAAGAAGAGCAGTGGTTAGATGATGAAACTGGATGCAAGCCACCGAATATCTAGTATGGTAACAGATGATGATGATGATGATGATGATGGCGACGAGCCGGTAACAAGTGTAATTGAAAATGTCGTTTGGTGCGTATCTTCTTTTATGCATCAAACTCCACATACTGAGAGATCTTAACCTTGTAGCAAAACCCCTACACTTGACTTCACCGTTTGTCTGATAAACGACCCATAAAAGTTCTCAACTACCTCCTAGGATCAGTTCAGAATTAAGAAAAGCGGCAACATCAAGGCCCTGTCTCTCTTGTTGCATAAAAAACAAAATACAGGCATATAATCGGATAAAAGATAGCGCAAGATAAATAAAGGCGGTGTACAGATAACTCAGAGAAAGACGTTTCACAAATTCAAAACCATCCTGGCCATCAATTTCACTTTCAAGCTGATTCCTGGCCCAAGTAAGAACTTAGTTGAAAGCACATGACTTTTATATAGTGACTAGATTCTATGATCCTATAGCATCCACAAAATGGCCTTAAATTAACAGGACATTTCAAGATCCATCAATGGATTATGTACGTCGGTGTTTACAGCTAGATATCATTTTATGCAGATTATTAATTTATATCGGGAAAAGAAATACATTTCGACATGTAAAAACTGTACAAGAGATGGAAGTACCTGGAGAAAAAGGACTAGTCACCCCTAAAAGGCAGCTGATCAAGTTCATCTACTAGCTCAGGCAAGGCAGCCTGACTTTCACTTCTGCATTGCAGCAACTGCCCCCTAAGACTTCGGATCAGCTCTTTAAGCTTCTGAATATTCTGTTCTTGAGAGAGAATTGTCTGCCAGAATTGATATAAGAAGAAGCCAACCGGTTAATGTAATGGACTAACAGGCAATTTGCAACAATATCACCAACGAACCTTTTCTTTCACAGATTCTTTGCCATGTGGTATATGTCGTTCTTCGTGAGGAAGAATCAGGCTGCTCTCTGTTTCACTCTCAATTTGTTGCTTCCACTCAAACTGCGAGGTCAGTACAATAAGCACAAAAACTAACACAAGCACCAAGGGCCTTGTCATCATGAAAACACAGTCCTTTTAGTCTTGTTTGACCTGTACATAACAGAACCAAAAGATGAACTGTGCACTGTTAACAAGAAAGATCGTGAAATAGATTCCCCAGGTGTTCGAAACTCGCATATTATATGTTTTTCTCCATCTAAATAGACTTAGGTGGAACCACAATCGCAGTCTTGAACGTTCTAGTTACAAGTATCAGCATTTCCTCTACTTCTTAAACAGTTGTCTTCTGAAGCTAAAGTAAGAAGCATAACACAAAAAACATGTATTTAACTTTCACATTCCTGCATCCTCGGGGATCAGACAACGGCAAGAAAGAAGCAAGACATATGCAGAGGTTTCACAAAACTAATGTATCTCTCTGTATACAGATTGCAATCCAAACACCATGTGATCCACTAATAGAATATCCCACGCAAAAACAAAAAATACCCACCAAAAATCAAACATAGAGAGAGATCAGAAACCTAAATTCCATTCGAGGAGAGCTCGGGAGACTGAAAAGTCCAAAGATCTCTACTTCCATGGACCTTAATCTTTCTACAAAATGTATGCAGTTCTTCACGCATGCCAAAAGTCCACAAACCCACGCACTCAGTTGAAGCAAAGATTCTATGAACATCACAAACAAGCTTTGGCTCTTGTTTCAGAAAATTTTCTCCCCATCCAAACAGACAGAGAGAAACACTTATTAACACCAGGGATCATTCACGTACTGCCGAAAACAAGAAAATAAATTTCCACACGAAAACCGGAGATCGATTGCAAGAAAATTTCGGAGCCCAGAAATTACGGTCACGAACAATTAAAAATTAATTTCTCTGATTAAACACTCACGAATCGAAACTCAGAAGCTGAAAGATTGCTCCTTTCGCCTTTGTGTTGACTTTTTCTCATTCTTCCTCCTTGCTTTTGATTTTTCAACGTATATACCCACCGCGAGTCGACGAAGCGAAGTGCATTGCACGACCATGTCGACCGACCACCATTAAATGAAACAAATTGTCAAATTGAAATTTTTTCCAGACGAAAAATGGGGTAAATTAAGATAAATCAATTTTCCTGGGGCTGATTTCGAAATAAAGATAACTTAAGGGGAATTAATAAAACATAGAAAAAGGCAGAAGCATTACATAACCATAGCAATCAATCAGTGGCAGAAGGTGCCGGAGAGGAGGAGGAATCCGGCGAAATGGGAAACTCGAATTCATCTTCCGGAAATCCTCGCTTCGCTTTGGCTTCGAGGTCTCTGTCGGAATCGGTCTTCTCATCTCTCTCTGTTTTTGTAAGAATCTGTCGGAGAATCTCTTGCTGAAATCGATCTAATCGTATGTCGTTGCAGAGCTTTTACTCAGAAAAAGCTCGAAGATCTAAAATCGCTCTTCGTCTCGCTCGCTTCTCAGTCTCAGAGCAATGGCCGATACGTTTCGTACCCCGTTTTCCAGGTTTCTATTGAATTCGATTCTCATGTCCCTCTCTTTCGGATTTTGGGTTTGTGAGAAGAAGCATCGAGATTCGCTCATACCTGTTATTGCAGGAGTACTTTGGTCTGAAGGGTTCTTTAGGTGAAAGGCTGTTTGATTTGGTGACGCAGCACAGGAAAGATGATAAACTCACTTTTGAAGATCTTGTGATTGCCAAAGTATGCATTGTTATTAGTTGATCTTTGATGTTTCTACTCGATCGGATTTTGTGGGCTTCAGTTTGGAATTTCAAGTCTCCTTTTGCTGTTCAAGAAATGGAAGCTGATCACAGAGATGCTGTTTTGAACATATACTCGTGTTTTTTTCAGGCAACTTATGAGAAAGGAACTGATGATGAGATTGATGAGTTTATTTACCAGTTGGTTGATGTGAATGGCAACGGGATCTTGACAAGGTACGGCCTGTTAACTATAGAACTCATGTTGAGTATACATCTTGATCTTGAATTTGCTTTAATGCATAATTGATCAAGATTTGGTACCTGTTTGTTGTGAAGAGCATAAGGTGGTTGCCCTCTGGTAAGCACTATAGAGCTGTTCTAGTGTAGGAACTAGGAAGATCTTGGCATCCACAAAGCATAGCAAGATCTTAGGACCTGAATTCTCTCAAACTGGGCATGTTTCAATTCACGAGAAATCTTAGCATCTGCGTTCAGGTCTGACCTAGAGTCTGTCATGGCTGTGATATTTGAGAGTGTTTTCTCCCCCGAGAGTTCTCACGACAAGGAAATGATGGATGTGTTCCTCAATGCTGCGACTCTCTCAAAAGCCAATCACGACGGTTCTGAAAAGGGTATGTCTTACGAGGATTTCAGAAGTTGGTGCTCGCTCGTTCCATCTGTCAGGAAATTCCTCGGAAGCTTGCTTATGCCACCTGATCCAGGTTATCTACTCTCTTCACTCTTTTTCTGCTGATTCTAATCTTCTACATGCAAATGTGATCTTTCCCCACTTGACCGTTTGGCGATCCTTTTGAACTCCGGTATTGTGTAGGGAGACCCGGATTTCTAGTCCCACACCTGCTTTATCCGGATAATGTTGATCCAGTTATGCTGTTGTTAAAGAAGGAATATGCTTGGCATATTGGAGGAGCTCTTCCTCAGCATGAGATGGAAGAGTGGAGACTCCTCTATCACAGTGCCCTGCATGGTCTGAGCTTCAACACGTTCTTCGGAAACATATCGTGAGTAGTAGTCTCAGTCATCTTATGATCATATCTACTGATCATGCTCATGCATCACCATTAACTTCATGAACAAATAGACAGTGAATCCTTTCATGAAATCACAGGAATCGTAATGATGTAATGACGACAGTTTTGATCATTAAAGACCAAGACGGATATGTATATGGAGGATATGCCTCTCAACCTTGGGAGAGGCTCAGCGATTTCTATGGCGATATGAAGTCTTTCCTTTTCCAGCTCTACCCTGCGGCATCCATTTTCCGACCAACCGGAGCCAACACTAACATTCAATGGGTACACAGCTTCACACTTCCCTGCCAAAAACCTACACAACTGAACATCATAGATGTGGATATTCCTTTGATCTTGAAATGGGTGTATGATGAATGTGCAGTGTGCTGTCAATTTCACTTCAGAGAGCATTCCAAATGGTATCGGGTTCGGAGGACGGGCCAATCACTTTGGCCTTTTCATATCTGCGAGCTTCGATCAGGGCCAGACCTTCTCCTGCACGACATTCGGGAGCCCCTGTCTCTCCAAGACGAGCAAAATACAACCAGAAGTAATAGAATGCTGGGGCATTGTAAACAGTGGAAAAGCACAAGAGAAGCAGCACAATGCAGTTAAAGGTACTGTCTTAGAGAGGTTCAAGGAAGACAGGAACATGCTCAAGATGGTTGGGATCGCGGGCAATTCAAACGAGTGAAAACACGATGATTCCTCATTGAGTTCCATGAATTCAGGCTCATGGATCGCCAATACAATGTGCATTGACCTTTAATCAATAATCAAAACTGCAGTGATCTTCACGTTTCATATGTGTAAGTATTGTACATTTGACTCATACCATTGGAGTTGAAACATTTCCAGTAATTGTTTCAGAATTCAACACATACAATTCTTTCATATTAAGGATCATAGAGTTTATATGCATATTAGATATGTGATCATTTCATAGGAACAACAAAAATCTAAACTTTTTAACGCATGAATCCTATCAAGTGAAAGAATTTGAGTTCAGACCAGTTTTGGTCAAAACCCAAATTTCATTTTGATCTTCTAACTGAAGAAGTATAATCCACCACAAACGACAGGACACCATGGAACTATTGAACACCAAAACCTATCAAGAAAATAACAAGGAGAAAAAAAAAAGGAAACAAAATTTGCAGAATTGAGAACCTAAGTGACGACACCAGCCACGAGTGAGATCAGATCACGTGAACCTCTAGAACCTTCTCCCACGACCGAACCCGAACGCTGGAGCCGGAGCGGCGACGGGATCCACCTTGACGAGCCCTGGCATGTCGGACATTCCCATGGCGGCGAGCATGTCGAGAGTCTCCTTGTCGACCTCGATGTGATCGATTTTAATGGCGGATTCGTCGGGGACGAAGTCCATACGACGCTCGCGCTCCTCCTCCTGGAGCTTGAGAGAGATTCCACGGACCGGACCCTTCTGGATCCGCTTCATGAGGTGGGTGGAGAATCCGGCGATCTTGTTGCGGAGCCTCTTAGACGGGATGATCGCAACTTCTTCGAGGATCTTCTTGTTGGTGTGGAAATCGAGGGTCATGCGCGAGTAGTACTTCTCGATCACCTGACGAGAGGATTTCTTCACCGTCTTCGTGCGAACGCGACCCATCGTCTGCAAAGAATTAGGGCTTCGAACTGGCTCCTGTTCCGGTGTTACGAGAGAGTGTGAAACTAGGGTTTCGGAGCCGTAGATCGTGATTTTAAATGTGAAAGAAGAAGAGGGGCAAAACGGTCATATCGATCAGGATAAGGAGAGTCACTTCGTTGAGGCCCAAATGTCTTGGCCCAGTAACCAAATATTGACCCATTATAATGCCGTCACTCGGATTCCGGATTTCATTGAGCTTCGATTAGGTTATATTGAAATTTTTTATTTTAATTTTAAAAAAAAAAAGATAATTACTTTGACTCGGTATCGATTTTGTTGGTAGAACTACTTGTATTAAATACACAATCGGTTTTTTCGATTATTTTATTGTTCGATTAAAATCGGTTTTATATAAATTATAACCATTGGATTAAAGAAGAAGTAACGTATCGAATGAAGAATTAACGTATAGGACTTATTGCATATAGGTTTATAATACACAAGAGTAATTAACTTATAGGGTTTTATTTGTAGCAAGATGTTGATTGTCGCATCAGAATTAGTTCTATTGATAATTTGGGTTTTTGTTAAATTATTTCTCGATTTTTGAAAAAGTTATATATACATTTGGATTTGGTTTTCACGTGAGGTTTTGGTTCAGTTCGTATTCTGTTTGGGACCTGAGTTTTATGAAAAATATTCACTTTCTAAAATGATTTTGTTTTAGATTCGGTTATTTCAATTCAGTTAATTTAGATTGACAAATCATATCGATCTATTGTTTTTCTTCGGTTCGATCTGAATTTGCACCACTTATATATGACATTATATGGAATGGTGATTATATATATATACATGAAGTTATTATTTGGACGCAAAACGTTACCCTATTATATCGCACCGAGTTCGTATGGGATGCACAACGATATTTTCGAAATTTCGTATCCTTATTTTCAGGTTCTAATAAAAGATATTGGCTGTATAATTAAATTTCTGTCTGAGCATGGCCTTATACACACAACTGAACAGTGCAGAGTTATTTCAATTTTGGTCCCTTTCAAGGCATATGTGTGTATATATATATATATATATATATATATATATATATATAAGACTTTTGGTCCGTTAAATGAGTATGCTCAAAGAGTCCTCCACCCAGGTTCGAATGTTACTCTTGACAAATCACATGTTATAAAAAAAAGATATTTGGTCCCCTATTTTTAGTATTATATAATACAATTAAAATATCCCTTCATAACATTTTATGTAATAAAGGTATATATATATGAAGACGAAGTGTTGGGAATGGAGACAATAATTAATAATTAAAAAAACTATTGGGAATTAAAAAAATGGCAGCTTACTTAAATTATCATGAAGCTTCGAGCACCACTTTCCGAAAATAAGAAAGGGTATTGTCTGTCTTCGGCGTCTGCAGAAACATTTGAATAATGAAAATGGCAGGTGTATATATATATATATATATCAAAATAATAGTTAACGTTATGCATGATTTATTCCAAAAGATATACAGAAGTCGTAGAAAATGAAGTTTCTTGATCATTTTTTCAATTAGGGTTTTGGCCTGGCTAATCTTCTGAAACATGAGATAAGTGAATGTGTGTAGCTAGATAGATACCTAGAATCTTTATCGTGAATTTATAGATTCTATTCAAAAATTTAAACTAAAGAAACAAAATACGATTTATCAAAGATAGATTATTGAATTTGAACATTTAATTAAAAGTAAGGAACAGAAACATATTTTTGTGGGTAATGATTAGCAAAAGTGGACCTTTCTTTTAAATATACTCCTCCACGAAAGAGAGACAGACAGAGAATTGAAATTAAAATGCATGACTCCACGTTTTTGCTTAGAATTCAATATGGTGTCGGGATAAATTTTCTTACGTTTATTCGTTAAATAAAAAAAGTTTTTTTTATATTAAACCAAACTAAATCAAAGTAAACAAATTTAAATAAAAGATAACCCTAAATTAGTGTAACCAATGAGTATGCGATAAGGAAAAAAAATAGTTCTTATCTTCGTATATATATAAAATCACATATATAATAATGTGATTTATATGTGATTGTGCTGAAAACATTAATGTATATGTCAAAAAATATAATAAACAAACAAACAAATATCAATCGCCCACAATAATAAAAGGCAAAAAGACAAACAAATATAAGTGCCCCAACAACCTCAATTATATATCATGGGAAAGCTATACACAATACATATGCCCCAACATGTGATTATATTTATTACGACAATCGAAATAAAACATTTTATTTATAATAATAATAATAATAATAACAAACTGATGAGTTTACTGAATGATGGGGTCAAGATGCTAACGTATATTCAAAAGGTGCCCCCAAATCGACCTGGGAAATGAGGCGAATTTTGTCCGTTTCTTCGTTTTCTATATTCTTGAAATTAATTTTGGAAATGATATGTCTAAACTAAGAAACAGGTCCATAAATGATGTCACAACAATATTAGAACCCTAGAGGGGAAAAAGGGTACCCAAATGATTAATTATTTTGTCCAAACACGCCAAGTAGCCCCTAGAGCATTAGATCCAAACTCAGAGTCATCGACAACAGATTTATGATCCACCGAGGAAAAAATATGCAATTAATATGTACGTATATTCTATTTATCATGGTTAAATAATGGAAAAAATCACACGACGATGTATATATATATATATATATAATAACGAGTCCAACAAAATTTGTTGTTGGAATCAATATATAAATCCGTTATATCATTAATTGGAACACTTTGTTTTAAACTTTTGAAAATAACAATAAAATAATAAATTATAAACATTTATACAGGTGAGTAAATATAATATATATATATATATATATATATATCTATGTATAACGTATTCTCTCCATTTATGTAGGATTAGATGAAAAAATACATCTAATTGAAACAAATAAATTTGTTTATGCAATTGAATCATCCGCGTACGACGGCTTGAGTAGGAGGAAAAAATGAAGCACGGACACAGGAAGAAAATATCCAATTGGACAAATCTTATCTTCCCCGTTGTTTTCTTCTTCTTACAATCATATTGGAAAACCAAACTACCTAGTATTTTATATAATTTTTTGTTATTTTATATATTTCAATATATTAATATTTTTACGATTGGCAAATAAATATAGTTTATACATTAAGTTCTATTTTTTGTTGAGGAAAATGAAACGGCTAGGGACCAATAATGGTGTCCTGCAATCACGTGACACAAAAATTCATGATTTGTTTTTTAAAATATAAGATATTATGAAAAATACATTTATAAAACATTAGCAAATAAAAACAGAAGAGGACCACGTACGTAACCATTTGCACGTCCTTAGATTTTTCAGATAGACACGAGATAAAATATTTGAACCGACAAAGTAAATATTCTTCACAGATTATTTACGTTTGTTAAATATATATTTTGAGAATTTTATGTACATATTGGCGTACCATGCAATGATATAAAAGTACATGTCATATACACTTATATACGCATATTTATCTTACCTAAATATAAATGAGCTAAACAAGATAGAGAACGTTATATATGTATGTGTGTGTATGTATGTATGTATGTATGTATGTATGTATGTATGTATGTATGTATGTATGTATGTATGTATGTATGTATGTATGTATGTATGTAGGTATGTATGTAGAACCATGTAAGTAGAGGTGGAGATGCATGGCATGCGATGTAGTGTCGGAAAGGCAGCGCAAGTTGGAGTTTTACTTGCGTGAAGGGAAAGTTATCCCATGTGCCCTAAACTTTGGGTGAAAACCATGTTCAATCTCAGCCGTTGGATCTTCCTAACCCTTGCGTCATCCCTCTGAGCCCCATCTATCGCCACGCTTCTCTTCTCTCCCTCTAATATATACATATAGTGAAAGATACAGTATGTATCTTTATCGATTTCACATCATTAGTCATTTTACCCCTACTAAATCATTTAAGGAGGAAGCTATGTTAAACGGTATTAAAATGATGGACTAATTTAATTATATATATATATATATATATTCTAGCCTTTAAGAGGTTAGGTTATAATATATATATATACAGTTATATATTGTATAGAAGATCTTGTTCTGTCTCGAGATAGCTGAAGATCAAACATGTTCGTCCCAATTCAGTAGTTTTTAATGTCCGAAGCTTAAAAAAAGGTAAGCTTGATATGAATATCCTATATATATATATATATATCATTATTGTATGATGGGTTTTAAGTTCCGATTTACTAAAGAAATATTTCAAATATCTCCAATACTATAGGTTCGTCATGGAATCCAATGTGCTTGACCGTATTGGAAACAAAAAACCAAAACCCAAAAAATACCGACCCAGAAAAAAAAAATAACGCAAATAGAATGATATATAAAATTGGGGATTGTATATATACACATTTAGGGGACAGTATATACATATATAAGTAAAAAAAAAATATTTATAAGATTAAGGGACAAAATCAGGATATATGAGTATATATATCATGATTTTGAATATATTTGCCTCGACTCGCAAACCTCAAAAGCAAGCCTCTCGATCGTTGTCGTGTCCTTAGGATCCTATCCACTAAAGCTAACATCAAATAGTCCCCGCAGTCTTCACGCCCTTCTTCTTTTTCCACCCTACCATTCTCACTTTCACATCTCTCTCTCTCTCTCTCTCTCTCTGTATCCAAGAAAAATGTCATCAGTCAACCATTACTCAAGAGACGTCGACCAGGCTACTCTCTGGTGGCAACACCACCGCTGCCAAAACGACGCCGTTTCTCCGCCGGAAACCTCCGAGACATGGCGGCGGAATCAATCCCTCAACGACGTCGCATCGTCGTTACAGAACGACCCGAGTAGTAGTAGTTGTGGTATCGAACATTATCCTCCACCATTAGAAACCCTACTCTTCGAGAAGTCTCTCACGCCAAGCGACGTTGGAAAACTCAACCGCCTCGTCATCCCCAAACAACACGCCGAGAAGTACTTCCCCCTTAACGGGTCCTCCTCCGCCGTCTGCAGAGGTGGAGACACGGCGGAGGCGGCTGCGGCGGAGAAGGGGATGTTGCTGAGGTTCGAGGACGAAGCGGGGAAGTGTTGGGTTTTCAGGTACTCGTATTGGAACAGTAGTCAAAGCTACGTGTTGACCAAAGGATGGAGCAGGTACGTCAGAGAGAAACAGCTCGACGCCGGCGACGTCGTCTTCTTCCTACGCCACCACTCCGATGACCGGAGAATCTTCATCCGGTGGCGGAGACGCGGCGGAGGTGGTGTTTTAGTGAATACGACGCCGTTTTCGAGCGGTGTGGCCACGTCGACGGCGCCACCGTCTTATCATCAATTTCATCACCAGGTCCACGCATCTAGTTATCCTCACTCTGGTAATTTTTTTATTTTTGCGAAATGTATTATGTAAATGGGGGTACTACAAATTATTTCTATATAAAGATTGGTAATAAATTTTATTTAAAGGTAAACTGTTGTCGGAATTAAAAGATCCATGCAATTTTTTAATTCAAACATATCCTTCGTTTACGTGTGTTTATGTCTCTATATAATTGCAGCCCAATATATATAGGGCTGGGCACGGGTCGGATACCCGCGTTTTTGGAGATATCCGTCTTCGTTTTCGTTTTCGCGGGTTTCAAAGAAATTCTATCCCTGTCTCTATCTCATAATATCCGGGTACCCATCCAACGGGTACCCATAACTAAAATACGGGTATCCGTGAGTACCCGTACCCGTATAAAAAATATTAAACAATATAAAATTAAACCAAATAATCAATAAAAATATACATATTTTATTCCAAAAATATATTTTTAAGTTTAAAAATTCTTAAAATATAATAATATGCATACAATCCTATAAATATTTTAAAATATACACAATAATTTGAAGTTGAATCTATCAAAACTTGAAAATCCAATATATAATCCTAAAGGAAAGTAAAAATAACCTAAGTATTTTAGAAATTATATTAAAAATATAAGGTTAATTTTGTAATTTTAATATATATGCGGGTACCCGCGGGTACCCGCGTATTTCAATATATAAAACCCGAACCCATACCCGTATAACGAGTATTCTAGTTTTTAATACTCGTTTTCGTTTAGGTATCAAGTACCCATTTTTCGAATACCCATGAGATCGGGTATCCGCTTACCCGCGGGTAACGGGTTTAAATGTCCAGCCCTAAATATATACATACATATATATATATAATGAATTGAGATGGTATACACGCGCGTGGAGGCGCGTGAGGAGAACATCCCAATCCAGTGGAATAAACGTCTCAAGAAATTTTTTTCTTCTTTTTTTTTCAATATTTTGTTCGGTTGTATTATGTCTTGTTATTGCAAATTAAATACTAAGAAATGCACGTACGTGAATATTTATTATTTACAGGAGGCATCGCCGCAACGGAGGCGGCGGAGAATCAGTCGGCGGCGATGGGGCCGAGTTCCAGGACGGTGAGGCTGTTCGGAGTTGATTTGGAGTGCCAACGTGACCACGACGATGACATGGCAGTGGCCGCCGATCCACCATTATTACCCTCGCCCCGTGGTAATTTTACTTCTCTCTATAAAATAAAATTATATATATATATATATATATATATATTATTAGAGTGCAATTCTAGTTTAATGCGGTTCGCTAGGGTTTAATCGGTATAGATATTATTTTTTATGAATCAATAGTAGATACAATACTCCATAAAAATCCCTAAAATCTATTTTAAATTCACTTAAATTACAATACATACATAGTTTATTATATATTGGAAAAATTCACGCGAAAAGAACTGCTGTATCATACAAGTATTTGAATAATTGTAAAAAAATGCAATGACATAGTTTAATATTTGATTATATTCAAGAATTAGTTTTATATATAATTATATTCGTTATGAAAATTAGCGGAGAGTAGTGTTTTTTTTTTCTTTTCTTTCTGCGTATATGTATTGATTATAAGGTTAAGTTAGTTATCTTTAGAATTGAAACTAATTAGTAACTAATTAGAGAGATTAAATTAAAACACGGGCAGGGCTGACTATGCATTGCGAATTTGTTAGAAAACTTTTCGTATATTTATCTTATTTTCTTATTTATTTATTTTTTTTTGAAATCTGAAGTTTCTTATTTTGGGTTGAAACAGGACATATCTTTCTCGGGAGATACGATGAAGCAGTTGAGATGAGGGATCGACCGTAGGACCTCCATCGGCTTGGTGATCATATTATTACTTTGAAGATTTATTCTTATAATATAGATGAATACTATTTGACATCATTCGATTTGAGACGTGTTCTCACTCCAAAGATGTATCATTATGAACGTGTTTATGTACGTACGATGCAATGGGGCTCTGGTATTTAAATTTAATTTTTCTATTCCTTCTTCTGGGTTTTATTTTATTATCTTTGTAATTGGTAGACCATCAATGGAGATTCTAGGAGACAACATGCATACTTACATACATATATATATATATATATATGAGTATGATGGCTTAATTTTAGTCTTAATATAAAATACAATTGAATTGAATACGGTCTAAAAAAAACTGGTGATGAATGAGTTTTTTGAAACTGAATTAATCAAAGAATCAAATATAAAAAATACCCTAAAAAATCAATTTTTAAAAAATATGTATTATTTTTAATGAAAACTATTCTCCTTGCATTGCGAAAGGAACCTAATAAATTTGTTCTCTACTTTGTGCTAAATGAAGGTACTAGTTTTACCATAACGGCAATTGGGTTCTGTTTCTTTTCTCAAAGAGACATGAATGAATCATTTCTAAGATCGAGACAAGAACTGGTTAAGTCAGATGATCATCTGAATCGAATCTTATGGCAAAAACCCAGATCAAACCTTTGCCCAAAACCCGAGCAGCGTCGGGGTTCGGATTGTGGAGATGAAGAACTCAGGTTTCACCTGGAAACAATCTTCACTTTCTCATCGATTTGCTAGCTGTTAGTGCAGTTGAAGCTACTAGCAAACTGCAAGGTAAAAAAAAAAAAAACAGATTGAAAACATGATCAAGTCATGAATCTTGACAAAAAGAAGAAAAAAAGGAAGAAACTTTGGGGCACTAAGATGAATCTTATGCCATGTACTAAGGTCAGATGAACAGTGAAGCTTCTGTTTTTTGTTTTTCTCTAAAATCATTTGGGCGGTGGATTCCTTCAGTGCCCTTCAAGACTTCACTGCACATATGAGAAGGGTGTATTATCCGGATAAAGAAAACAATCATTGGAAGGATTGTGCAGCCAAAGGGGGAGATCAAATATCCTCAGTGATGATAAAAGGAAAAAAAACACAGAGAGATTTATATCAAACAGAATGGACCCTCCTCACTCACCAGGCCTGAGTGCTAGACCACTTTGGTTTTTCATCATTTGTATGTATCTCATCAAATGACTTCAGTATGTGCTTTGTACTACAAGTCATGCTTTATCCAAAAAAGATTGTAGAATGCCATAAACAGTAATCTGGAATCTTCCCAGGTGAGAGGACTCAAGATTGCAATCACAAAACAGAGAATCAATGAAATGGAAACCTGAATATTCTAAATGATATTAGATCTTGCAAGGAATCTATAGTCGGGTTCTGAATGAAATCGCCATGTCTATAGCCAAACTGGCTCGAGAACTGACTCCATGAAAGAGCATTAGACAAAAACTGAATAGCAATTTGCCTATTTGGCCACATTACCACTATTTTTTTTAAGTGGATACATGAAAGAAACTTGCTGAACCTATCAGCAAATGGTTTCTAAGCAGTAACACACAACATTGATTAGACAAAAAGCTCTGCTCAAATATTCTACAAGGCTTTCGGGTTATGGCCACATGCTCCAACTTTGAGTGCAGTGAATAAGTGCTCCTCTAAGGCAATAAGCATTTTATTGACATGACATCAGAAATAAATATAAACACAGATATGCAAACCTGGTCAAGTTACCTTTTGTTTGGTGATCATACTTAGCAGCAGGTGATCCTCAGGGGCCCATGAAGATTCAGGGGAGGAGCTTACTGGTTGACCTCAACCCGATGATCTCCCCCCATATCCATTGTTTTAGTGGCTTCGGCAAGTGGGAGAGGGACCCCCAGACATGAGCCATTATCGCTCGTTCGAAGAAGCTTTTGGCCAGTTAAGATGCCCAAAGGCCTTGCATTTGGGGTCCTAGTCCTGCAGTGGAGGTTCCAATCATACAAGACTAAAGTACAGTACTGGTTGTAGATACTTTTCCATGAGAGGCTTTAATCTATCTGATGTCTTTGCCTTTTTGCAGTTTCTAAGGGCAGGCCATCTTTCTCTTTTCCAGTTTCAAAGGAACCTGTAATAGGAAAAGATGGTTGAATCGGCATGTAAGTTAAAGCCATTAACAAATGTCTAGCATTAGGTCTCAGGGGTAGGATATTGAGGGCCAGATGAAATGATAGCATGGAAATATTAACAAGCGTATGGAAACAACAGAGAAGAACGAAATCCTGTTCTCTCATAAATAAAAAGGTTATTAATCCGTTACAAGCAGAAAAACAAGAAATCTTACAATTTATTCTGCAACTTCAACCAACAGCCACAGCACTTGACAAAACTAGATAGAAAACCCTGTCATGAGCGAGCTTCTGCCTTGCAGGATTCCTAAAAAATATAATCTGAAGAAGCTGTGAAAGGATTAAGACCCCATGAGAGATAAGATCGGTGTCCTGTTCAAGAAAATTTGCACCTAGTAGTGTGTTGACGAATACTGGGTAAGCATCCAAAGCTAATTTTTCTTAAGTAATCTTGAGCAAGAGAGGTTTGTTTAAGGTATTAACATGAGATACTTGACAAATAGGTCGTCTTAATGTAAAAGGCTGCATCATCAACTGATTTCTTGGATTCTTCATGCAACCAAGAATCCAAGATCAAGTAGCTTTCTTTGAGTTATCAGCTTCATCTGATGTGATTTTGGAGTCTTCCTTCTTCTCCATAACTTGTTGAACACCCTCTTGGTAACCTTGTATAAAGCTTTTAAGAGCATCTCTATAGGCAGAAGCTCGTGTCATGTATATTCGCTGTAAAGCAGGCCTTAACGTCTCCATACCACCCCTTGCAGCTACCGCTGTGGAAAAAAAGGGAGAGAACAAAGCCAAGAGAGAATCAATAAAAGAATGCAAGATAGAAAACAGACTAAGACAATGAGATGTGCTGAAATGAGTACAGTTTAAAATGGATATGCTGTTACAAACTTACTATCCCCCAATCTCACTCAGTATAGGCTTAACTTTCGAGAGCAGTAAACAAAACAATAACAGGCCTTACCGAGATCTTCCAAGACCGAGGGCTCGTTCTCTTTAACTTCTTTTTTCGCCTCATGTTCCTCATGCTTCTTATAATCATTTGGCCGAAGCTCAGGACCTATATCTCGAACCCAACTTGCAGCATAAAGCCTAGAAGCCTCCTTTAATATCTAATTAACCCATCATAAAACCAAAAAAGCTATCGCTCAATGTGTAGCATTAGATGGTTCTATTCAAAGGAAACAAGCACTAGCTTCTCTTAAAATATGAGAAAAGTCATTCTCGAAATTACACATACTCCTACAATCCCTGAAACCAAAACCTATTACCTATATATCCCCTTCAAACATAATCAGGATTCCAAATGCAAGAATGCGGAACCCTGAAGCTTTCTCCTTTCGGGTACCCCTTCAAACATAATCAGGATTCCAAATGCAAGAATGCGGAACCCTGAAGCTTTCTCCTTTCGGGTAAATCTTTACGACGACAAAAAGAAAAAAAAAAAGCATCCCAAAATTTCTCGTTTCCTCATACCATAAGAACCAAGCAAATTATGAACTCAATTACAATGGAAGCATCTATGATTTGTAAAGTCCAATCCCCACTCTAAGCTTCGGCAGAGAGAAAAGAAGCAATCTTTGTCACTCATTCAGGCCGTAAAAGCCACAACCAAGTGATCCAGTGTCTGATTTTGCCAAATTTCCACAATATGCATCAAATTCTCGATCATACAACATCATATGAACTCTTTGACAGCACTTGAATGACATCCATCTCTATACTAACACTAATAAGAGCAATTTCCGACAGAGGTTAAAGGTCCAAACAAATCAGATTCTCCAGAAGCCGATACTATAAAGCATATACCAGAAGAGAAAAAGCACGGAGAGCCAACGAAATTCTAAACCGGAAGAGCAAAATTCGAAAATCCAGAAGCGAAGCAGATCAAACGAAGAGAAATCTGTAGGAAGAAGAGCGGGAAACTCACGAGAAACCGCTCGTTCCAAGTCAACTTGCGGCGCTTCTTGATGTGAGGAGGATCGGGGAGCGAGGAAGGGAAGGCGATTTCCTTGAGATCGTACCGAACGTAATCGTAGACTTTCCGACAGACAACCTTCAGCTTCATCTTCGCGGACGGGAAGAGACTGTTACAGTGTCCGATGAACAGTTCACAGCTCCGGTCACAGTCTCAAACTCTCAATGATTCCACCGGCGGCTCAAAGCTCCATTTGGGTTTGGGCTAAATTGTGAACAAAAAAAAAACCCAAATGCATGTTCAAACCCCTTTGCCCACAACGATCCCATAAACCCTAAATTATTGGAATTATTAGATAAAATACCTTACTTGATACTTAATATCATACCACATAATAATTTTTATTATTATTTCAATTTGGGTTTATCTAGATGGTAGTAATTATAGAGTAATTTAGTTTCATATATTGATCAATATAAAAAACAAATAGATAACATAATCAAATAAAATATATTCGATATAAAAAATCCATTAATTATCATTAAATATCCAAGTAAACCATAATTTATACAAAATATCTAAATAATCCATAAATTTATATCAGTTTTAAATTACATACTGAGATAAAGAAAAAAAAACTTTTTTGTTTATTTTTAGTTAGTGTCCCAAGTCTTGGTCTTCAACACAGGACACTTAGTGAAACAAAGAAACAACCGAACACAAGGGAGATTATAGAACTAATCGAAAAGTGTTTATTATATCATATGCTCTTTCTTCAATCTCCATCCCGTCGGTTAGCATTCCCTTGAAAAGTGGAAAAGCCCTAATTTCACCATCTTTTTTATGGATATCCCCAAAAAAAAAGGTGATTAATTCACATTGGGAAGACAGTAGGGAGAAGAAGGAACAAAGACTGAACAACAATGTCATGTCCCCAAAAGGATTGGATACTGGTTCCTTTGCATGGCGGACACAACTAAACTACTCATCCTTCTTGCATTCCGAAATCGCGGTTCATAAGAATCTACAACCGTTAATCGCTCGCAAGAAATGGCGAAAAGGGTGTAGTATAGTTCTACGGCCTTAAGGGTTTCGAGGTTTCACTGCCATAATACTCTAACCTCACTCCAATTCTCTTGCCTGTTTGTTTGTGATTTCGTCGTCATTGTCATCTTTATTGTCATTGTCATTGTCAGCTGCCACCACGGGGTGAGGTGGTCCTCTTGCGATCGGCATCCCGCTTCTGAAACTTTGCTTCGGCTTAGCATAGCCGACGAATATAACCCGCCCGTTTAGTTGCTGCAATAGAAAATATACTTGTTACTTCTCCAAGTTTCGGTTAGATCATGTTTTAAGGAGGAAGCATCATATCATATGAATTTAGTGCTTGACCTTTCCGTTCATCTCAGTTATAGCCTTTTGAGCTTCATCGTCGGAAGCAAATGTCACAAACCCGAATCCTTTAGATCTATCAGACACTCTATCCATTATTATTTTGGCTGGCACATAAGCAATATAACAATAATAATAATAAGAAGAATCTTCAGTTTATCAGCAAATTTGGGCATATTTCTTTCGAGGAAAACTATAATGTTTATACCTTCAACGACTTGGCCGGACTGGGAAAATGCCTCGGACAATCCCTGCTCGGAGGTATAGAATGACAGTCCTGAAAAAAAGTACAGCTTCATAGAATTAAAAAAAAGGCCTGAAACAAAGGATAGTTTTATCGGCGAATTAGGAGGTGAATTACTGACTGTATTCCCGTGTCAAGATCACATTCTAAAGTATCGAAGCAGCCATACTAGTAGGAGCTGATAATTTATACCATCTTCCACAAAGACTGTTTTTTTCTTGGAACATGGAAGCAATGATAAGCAACAAGCACCAATGACAAAATACTAAGAATGGAAATTTTCCGGGTCCAACTAAGTCTATTGATCGAGTAGCTACAAAAACAAAAACATAGACCCTCAGATAAAAGCGAGTTTTGGGACAAAATCTCATATACGATCAATCAGAAGCTTACTCCTTGTTCTAATGTCAGTAAATTTTAAAACATGGATAGGAATAATCCACAAGAAGAACACGAGAATGACCTCAGATGCGATAATGAAAACAATGCACAAGAACGAAATTGCTATTAACTAACAGTTGCAGAGGAATAAACAACCTCAGAGGCTCAGACAGAGACAACAATGTAAATAATGAACAACAAGAACATGGCCATCAAATAAGTGAAAACATGGCTTATGAACAATTAGCTTGCAGATGAATGATGAAGAAATTTGCAATTTCATTCATTCGCTTTAGGGAGTTTATGTCGAAATTCCTCTTTTTGGCAACATTTTTTTACGTCTGCTTAAAACCCTGCACATGCTACTGGTAAAACTAAGCCCTCCAATTTCTAAACCCTAAATACCAATAATCAAGTTGTTTAATCTACTACTGGGTCTTCTGAAATGGATTCACTGAATAAAGAATTTTCTCGGAGCCGGTTTCTTCGTCTATATTGAACTGTATATCCCAAAACAGGGACGCCTTTACTGAACAATATTACACAAGTTCGAGGATGGAGACATGGAATTTCCTGCGAATCAAAACAGAAAATTTGCGGGAAACTGAAAAAACGAAAGAGTAAATAAGAAGGTAGAGAGAACCTCCAACAAAGAGCTTGGAGGCAACGCCACGGCGTTGGGAGAAGAGAAACGCGGCGGAGGAGTTAAAAACTCCGACGGATTTCAGATGTCCGCCGACAATCCTAGAGAGCGCCATTGATCTCTGATCAGTGAGTCAGTGACGGCGAATAGAAATTAGCTTCTCAGCTTTTTTTGTGCAACGATGTCGCTTTTCCAACTTTAGGCCACAAAATGGATGGTTTATTTTTTTCGGCCCATTTATCAATTAAATAGATTCATGGGCTTTAGCCCAAATCGGCCCAGGAATGTAGAAACCTAAAATTAAATTATCAAACCAATCAAACATGACAGTTTGGCCGAGTGGTCTAAGGCGCCAGATTTAGGCTCTGGTCCGAAAGGGCGTGGGTTCAAATCCCACAGCTGTCAATAATTTTTTTAATAGATTCCGTTCTCAAAACGACGTCGTCAATATGTTAGAGGGCATTTAGGTAATTAGCAAGGCCTTTGCCTGAACCCTAATTTATAAAGCATGTTTTCTCCCTTTCACTAACTCTTGTTTTGTTTGAGACGGCTATCAACACCCAAAACCCTAGGCTGTCTTCTCTTCTCAGCCCCTGTTAACCATGGTATGCTATTGTCTCTCTCCATGAATTATCTGTGCAAGAGCAAACAGTTCTTGCGTTTGTTTTTGGCTTGGATTCCAATGCTCCTGTACGTTTTGTCTCAGTTTTTCTTACGGAATAGGTGATAATCTAGGTTTTAATTGTCTGTTCTGTCTGATTCATAGAACATGGTATCGGAGATCACTCGTTTACGCATTTTTTTCGTATTTGGTTTGTATCTTTGTCGGAATAATGTATCAATGATTGCTGAGAGATCGTTGTTGAAGATCTTTCTTGATTTGATTTTGCTTTTCTCCCTGCAGTCGAGGAGAAAAACCAGAGAGCCAAAGGAGGAGAATGTCACTCTCGGACCCGCCGTCCGTGAGGGAGAACAAGTCTTTGGCGTTGTCCACATCTTTGCATCGTTCAACGACACATTCATTGTAGGTTTTTTCCGAATTCCTTTGCTGTTTTATTGTGTTTCTGTTCGTTAGATTTACGATAATGTGGTTTAATTTGCAGCATGTGACCGATCTCTCTGGAAGAGAAACTCTTGTTCGTATCACTGGTATGTCCAATTCTCCTTTTTTCTCCGCTTTATGGTAGCATGTGACCATGTCTCCAATGCTGTGTCCTGTCCTATTTTTGATTTTCCGGGTGATAAATCTTTATCATTCACTTGCAGGTGGAATGAAGGTAAAGGCTGATCGTGATGAGTCCTCTCCATATGCTGCTATGCTAGCAGCCCAGGATGTTTCTCAGAGATGCAAGGTTTTTTACAAACTCTTTGAATACCATCGTTCTGTTTTATCGAGTGGAAAATTACGCAGATCGTGTGGATTTGCTTTTGATGCCTAATCCATTTGGGGAATCATGTTAACAGGAGCTCGGCATAACAGCTGTTCATGTGAAGCTCCGTGCCACCGGAGGAAACAAGACAAAGACTCCTGGTCCTGGTGCTCAGTCAGCACTCAGAGCTCTTGCTCGTTCGGGCATGAAGATTGGTCGTATAGGTACTCGATTTAAAGATCCTTTTCATCTTTTTTCAATGATTTGTTGTAGATTCTAGATTAGGAAATATACATCTAGCATGCAATATTGTTTATTCAGCATGCTCTGGACAAAAACAATTCATTGACGCAGAAACCGCGTACTTCTCTCGCTTGTTAAGTTGATGTGCTAGATGATCTCGGGCTTTTTAGGTGACGTAGAATTTTTGAATTATGTGGCAGAGGATGTGACTCCGATTCCGACAGACAGTACCCGCAGAAAGGGTGGTAGGCGGGGAAGGAGGCTGTAATTGTCTCGGTGTCGTCCAGCAAATGACCCTCTCGATTACTTGGACGTTTCGGGTACTCGGATTCAGATTCTACATTTGCTAAAGTTTTCATCCAGTTGTTTTTTTAAGACATGTTAGCAGTTTTGTTCTTGTGACATTGGAGTTTTCTGAGTTTTGAAACGGGACAGTATTTACCTTTGTTCTGCCGCTCTTCTCTTTTCCCTTACCACTTGTTGCATCGCTTAGGCCAGCCGATTAATAACTATGGATTCTGAACCAAATTAAATCTAATATGGATCCAATTTGGTATGATTTTTCTAAACCAAATTAACATGAATCCCAATTAAATTTGGTTTTTGTTAGGTCTATAACAAAATGTTAACCGGTTTGGTTTTAGTGTTGTTTCGGTATGGAATAGAGTTGTTATACAGGTACCAAACAAAAACCGGAACTTGATGTTTACATACATGAAGTGTCGTTCGGTTTTGTTTTGGTTTTTATCGGATTCAGTCCGTTATTTAACTGGGCTTAGAAATGATTTATTCGGTCATTTAAAAATTATATCAAATCTCAGCCGAATATTGTTGGGTTCTAAAATGTATTATGCCAAATTTATTTGGTTATACAAAAATTCAAACAATTTAGAATTGGATATTATTTCGTTTGGTCCGGTAAGTTATTGTGCCCAACTGAAACGGCCACCACCTCCTAGTTAAATTAAATGTAGTTACGGTAAAAACCAACAGTAACAGCGTTTCTAAAGATGGTAGGGTTTGCAAAGGCAACGAAAACGAAGTGATGTTGGTATATGAAACCTCAGTTTTGGATATAGAGTTTGATTTAAAACGGGCCATCCAATATAATGGTTTTTGATACTTTCGATTGGCTTTTTGGGTGTATACTAGGGCTCATTTGTACTCGTTACTTGCGGATTTGCGGATATCCGATCTCGTAGGTATACGAAAAACGGGTACTCGACTCTGAATGAAGACGAAGACGCATACATAAAAATGACAACAAAGACAGGTACGAGTTTCATTTTTACGAAGACGGGTACCCTACCCGTAAATATATAAAATCTATATATATATTCAAAAACATATATATTTTTTATATTTTAAATATATTTTTGAATTAAATAATATATTTTTACTAAATATTTGGTTTATATTTATTTAAAAAAATATATTTTACGGGTACGGGTATGGATACCCGTCTCTTAATTATTGGTACCCGATCGACGGATACCCGGTGTTAATGAGATAGATAATACCCGGTATTAATCATGGTTATCCGATCGACGGGTACGCGTTATTATTCATCAATTAATTCCATTTTAGAAATTTTTTTGGACGAACCCAATGTGATCTTATAAAACCCATTGGGCTTCAAAAATTAAGTGGGCTTAGAAAACAAAAAGACCGAAGAAAATAACATTTACAAGTAAAGCCCAAACTCCAAACCTTTGCTGCACTGAAAAACCCTAGAAATGAGCTATAAAACTGTCGCCGTGGTTGGGTGTATTCTCGATCGCTTGTTTTCCTTCTCGCTGAACGGCCAGTGGAAGAACGCGGAATAGAAGATGCAGATCTTCGTAAAAACCCTAACCGGCAAGACCATCACTCTCGAGGTCGAGAGCAGCGACACCATTGACAACGTCAAGGCCAAGATCCAAGACAAGGAAGGTATTGTTAACATCCGCTCTCTAATTCGATCTTTCGATGTTCATGAGCTTATCTGAGACTTTGGTGATTGGAATTTTTCCGTTCCCCTCGCACAGGAATCCCACCGGATCAGCAGCGTTTGATCTTCGCCGGAAAGCAGCTTGAAGATGGTCGTACCTTGGCCGATTACAATATCCAGAAAGGTTTTGCCCTATTTTCATTCATTTTCGGCTTTAGGGTTTTTCTGTTCCTTGTTCTGGGTGTAGGATTTTACTGGCTGTGATGTGCATTTGAGTTACAGTGTTTGGTAGAATTAGGATTTTGCTTCACGGTCTGGATTAGGCGATGTGACATACTCAGAAATTCAGTAATGGAATTGCTTTTGTAACTTATGGATTGGTTTGATTCGTTCTTTAGAATCTACGCTTCACCTTGTTCTGAGGCTGAGAGGAGGTATCATTGAGCCATCTTTGATGGCATTGGCTCGTAAGTACAACCAAGACAAGATGATCTGCCGCAAGTAAGTCTTCAAATTGCTTACCTCACCTCGTGCTTCTGTTGTTGATTCACTTCTCTATGTTGGTTGTGTGGGGTGTTCGTTTATGAGTTCTGTTTTGAAGGGAAATAGCTTACCCCTCTAACAGTTAGTGGACAGACACATAGGTCATGAAAATTTCCAATACTAAATCTCCTATAGTCAGTTTTGTAACTAATGATTTACAACTTGCAGTCGATTTTCTCGAGTGGAAAATCGAATTACTCTGTTGTGATTTTCTTCTTTTCTGAGACTCTGACCTGCCACAATTATCGTTGGAATAATTGTCAAGTTTGACAAGCCATAGATTATCGTAGAGCTACGTTTTTTAGTGTATCAGTTGGGCTGGATTAATGATCCTTTATTTTGGTATTCTTCACTTCTGAGCCTATCTTAATCTCCAGACGGGATTTGTGTTGAAAACACTGCTCTGTTAGATCGTAGATATCCTGTCCTGTATCCCGTATCCGTCTGTCCATGTTTAAGTAGTATTATGTGGTTATGAACCCAGGTGCTATGCTCGTCTCCACCCTAGGGCGGTAAACTGCAGAAAGAAGAAATGCGGTCACAGCAACCAGGTCTGATTTCCATCTTCGTTGTGAACCTGGACTTTATTATTTCTCCCAAACTTTTTGTATTGTAGACATAAGATCAGAAACTGTAAGCGCGTAGAACTTATAGATAGATCTTTTGTTGTATCTGCAGCTGAGGCCTAAGAAGAAGATCAAGTGAGCTATAATCCTCCACTGCCCCCTTTTTTTTTGCTTCAGCGTGTTTCTTCCCGAATTTGTACCAAGCTTTCAGTTTGAGTTTGTGTTTGTCGTTTTAATTGGAGACATTATTGTAATGTTACAATCTTTCCAGAGTCTGGTTTAATGCAGTTTCGCTTACATTGTCGCTGGTTTTGATGGATCCGTTCATATGGTTTTTCCATTACTGAAAACCATTTATGGGTTTTTTTTTTCACTGTAGAAAGATTGGTTCTTGCTCTTGGGCTTGATTTTGACCTCAACAGTCTCTGTTGTCTTTCTTGAGACAGCCATTACTCAAAAGATTTGATTTTTATTTCGTCATCTTCTCCATTTTTTGGAGGAGTAAAGAGAGAAGGAGTAACTAGCTGCATGCGAAAAAACTGAAGTCAAGCAATCCAAGAGATGTCCGAAAAGCAATCAAAGCTGCAGAAGGATGTTGGCCCAGCAAGATTAAAGCTGCAGTGGTTTCGGTAATGAAAGGTACACCTTAAGTTCGGGAAACTTTGGGGATAAAATGTTGATCATCGTGTTCCTCGTTTCATCCGTTTCGGGTGCAAAAGCCAAACACTCATCCTTGGCAAGCAAAAGTTATACTCAACAGAAGAGCAATGCAATATAAATTGGACTCCTGCAACAGAACACGTTCCACCGACCGACAAATACAATGCAGAGATGAATGAGGATTTCTCCGATCCGATTATTGGATTGGGGCTACAGTGACAAATCAAGAACACCGATCATGAGACTTACGACTGAGCAGAACGAATTTCTTGCCTCCGCCTAGCAGGCAAAAACACCTCATTGAATGAAGAATTTGTATTGGTTAACAACGTGGGTGTTTGGTCTAGTGGTATGATTCTCGCTTCGGGTGCGAGAGGTCCCGAGTTCGATTCTCGGAACACCCCATTGATTTTGTTTCCCAGCATCCGCAATGGGCCTGGCCCTATATGACCAGATCCATTATCAGGCCTCGTCAAAACGGCTCAATTTTGTTATCACCCCGTTTCCTCCCTTCGTGTCGAGGGTTTTTGGAATCACAAATCTCAAAGTAAACCAAAACCCTAGTCTCTCATCCCTCCCGTTTCTGCAACCATGAGCCGATCAGGACAGCCCCCGGATCTCAAGAAGTATGCTTTCTCTTCCTTACTGTGCCTCCTTTCGGTTTTCTCTCCTTTTTTTTTTTTGTTTTGGTCTGGATCATCCCAGTGTTTTGTTCAATTTCATGTCTCTGAGTTTTGCTTTCATGGGATGCAGGTACATGGATAAGAAACTTCAAAGTAAGTGCTCCTCTTCCTTGATATCCTGACTGTATGTGTTTGTCTTTGTTTTGGGCAAATTATAACGAGTTGTACAGTTTGTGATGCATAGTGTAGTTCATCATCTATATTATTGCGAGCAATGTGCGCTTGGGTACAGTCCTTTTGCAGTTTTGCTTAATGGAATGACTCTCCTTTGGTCAATATCTTTGCAATCAATAGTTTTACGTTTCCAGGAGTAGCTCTCTTGTTTTTTTCTCTCCTTTTCTGGTTTAGATTTTCATAGATTTGTTTTTTGCATTTATGGTGTGCCCAGTGAGGAATTTGCCATTAGATGCTTGGCTTGGTGTCAGAAAAAGTTCTAAGTAGTTTACTGATACACGGAATCATTTGTCATCAACTGCAGTCAAGCTTAATGCTAACCGTATGATCGTCGGAACTCTTCGTGGGTTTGACCAGTTCATGAATCTTGTTGTGGACAACACCATCGAAGTGAACGGTAATGAGAGAACCGACATTGGCATGGTGGTATGTTTCTCTCTGCCTTCTTGTTTCCTCCAAAACTGGGTATCATATCAAGCATTCGTTTTCATCAATTGATGTTGAACTTTTTTCTTGGTGCAGGTGATTAGAGGAAACAGTGTTGTCACAGTTGAAGCTCTCGAGCCAGTGGGCAGATCTTAATCTTATATATATCCATTGGTAATCATCTTTCGTTATCGGGCACTTGTTTGTTTGCTGCTTGTATGAGAAGAACTCGGTAGAATTGTTGGAATTAACTGATGATAATGGCATAATGAAGCTTCTTGCCTGTGTACTAAAAGACTGCTATGAACCCCCTGACTAAACATTTGATTAGGTGGATGTAGATTCTAATCTCAATTCTCAGGGTTGTGGTTATAGAATATAGATAGGGGATTTGTACTCAAAATGCTGGAATTCAACGGGGGTTCTGTTTTGGATATGTCCTTTTTCAGTGTCTTGGGGTACGTACATGCCTAGAAGATCTTTTTGGTAGCATGTAATCTGTCGAACTCAAGGTGAGAAATCTATGATTTCAACGTCTACGAGGATGTCATTAACTAGCTTCTCTAATGTCTTTACCGACAATGCGGGTAGAACCAGCATGACTATGATGGAAATAGAGACAAGGTGTGGCTCCATTATGAGATCTTATCAAAGGGTTTAGAGATTCTAATGAAACAAGTTGTTTACTGGCACAAAACATTGAAAAGTTCACTCATTCTGTGGATTTGAATTGCAAACGGACAGATTACTAGGAAAGGATGGTGAGGAGGAAGAAAAGGGTAATGGAGCAATTTGATCATGAGCTCCAACGGCTATTTCCCTTTATTCTTTTATGCTTTTTCTTTGCCCTTTGTTACTTCAATTATAAGAGTTTCTTATCAAACAGAAAGGAAGCGATGTCTTGAGAAGAGAATATGTGAAAGTGGAATGGAACCAAACATGCTTCCAAACAAGTCTTCACTTGAGGCAAGAGCATATCTTTTTCCTCTCCCCAAAGAAACAATACAACGCAATATTCGGCACGTGGGTTCGTTGTCGCACGTGGGTTTGGTTTTATTCCTTTTGCCCTTTTATTCTCTTTGTTTCAGATGATATCATGTGTTGTTGGTTGCTTTGTTTTAACGACTAAATGAAAAAATAAGATATTATTTTTTCAATTAGTTGAATTTTAATCGTATTGAATAGCCAACAAATTTGAATGAAAAACAAAATTGTAAAAATTATTTTTTTATAAAATAAATAAATACAAATAGAAAATTTGATTTAGAATCGAAATATAAATAGTTTTTTAAAAATAAGATAAATAAGTAATCTAAGTGAAGTGTAACTAAAAATCAAAGCATCCAAATATTTCATGTGATGGATTTCATTACCATTTATAGAGATTTCTATAAATATTGTGAGATTTTGTACCTGAATGCATTTGTTCCCCTATACCTGTTTTGTTTCCGAATTAGATATCTTAATTTATTTCCAATATGAAAAATATCATTGCCATTCAATTATGACCTGAGGACCAACATATGCTTCTACCTTTTTTTAAATCATTATTTTAAAAAATAAAATTGAAAACAAACTCGAATTAAATTAAAATATTATATGAAATATTTAATTGATATATATTTTTAAATTTAACATAAAAAATCTAAAACGAAATCGGTAGCCAAAATGTTTAACCTCATCATTAACTTCTTTGTTATAAGACTTTAAAAAAGTCCAAAAAGATAAAAAGAAATGAGGTAACGTGGACCGTTTAAGATTTCTTCATGGAGATGCAAAAGGAATAGAATAGAAGCAAAAACGAATATATATATATATATATATATATATAATGTTTGTACAGGTTGGCATACTATTCTTCCATTCCATTTCCCTTCTCGTTTGGCTCTTCGTCTCCCCTCCACCCACCTCCACCATATTTTCTCTTTCGCCGGCTCTTTGAGTGCTTCTTTCAGCGTATAGAGACAGTAGCATTGGAAGAAAACCCAAGAAATGAGAGATTTGTAATGATAATTACTCCTCACCAACCGAAATCCTCCCTTCAATCCAACTCTACGCCCACCCAAAAAGTATAATCTTTAATCTCCCAACAGAATCATTAATCCGCCATTACTGTAAACCATTTTTGGGTTTTTCTTTTCTCTGTAAAAAGATTGGTTCTTGGGCTTGATTTTGACCTCAACAGTGTTTCTTCCCTCTCTGTTCTCTTTCTTGAGACAGCCATTACTCAAAAGATTTGTTTTTTATTTCGTTATCATCTCCATTTTTTGGAGGAGGAAAGAGAAAAGAGAAAATAAAAATGGCCGAGGTACTAAATTCGTCACCATCATCTCACTTCTCTTCACCTTCAAGCTCCCCTTCTACTCTATACGAAGCCAATGATAGCATTACAACCCCACATGCTCTTTTTAACATTTCTCAAGACGACGACGAAGAAGAAGAAGAAAGAAGAGACGAAAGAGAGAGGGAAAAGGGACATCAGCTGTCGGCATTGGCGATTCTGGTCTCTGCATTCCGGAAATCTGTGATCGGTGGGTGTGTTGGTGAAGAGATTTGTTCAATGGAGATTGGGGTTCCTACGAATGTTAGGCATGTTGCTCATGTGACCTTTGATAGGTTCCATGGCTTCCTTGGTTTGCCCGTTGAGTTTGAACCAGAGGTCCCTAGGCGAGCTCCTAGTGCAAGGTTTGAATTCTTTCGGTGTTTTTTAGCTTTTTGCTTTTTGCTTTTTCTTGCTTACCCTTTTTCTCAAATCAAGATTGCTCTTTTCTGGTAATTGTGTCATGGGTTTTACTCAAAGATGTTGGATTTATCATGTTTAAGTGGGATTCTGATTTGGGCTCTGATAATTTTTTGGTTGACAATCTCTTGAAAAATCTGCTCTTGATTATTTTCTTGTTATGGCAGTTTATCAAGTTTTTGTTTTTCCCCCTCAAAATCAAGTAGATTCATTATTTCTCAAATCGTGCTTGTTCTTTTCTGGTACTTGTGTCACGGGTCTCGCCAAAAAGATGGTAGATCTATTACATTGAACTCGACAGTTGAGTTGGCCTCTGTTACTTTTTGGTTAAACAAAAAATTGAAAATCCTGCTTTGAGGGATCATGTTTGTTGATGAGGCCATATTGAATCAAAACTGGTTTAAGCTTTCATCAAATTTCAGACTAAGATTTCTATTTTCAGTGACAGTCTAGAGCTTAAACTCTGTTACATATCTGTTATTTCATGGGGAAGGATAGAACCCCTTGTTGATAAAAGGAGGATGCTGTTGGAGAGTGTACTTCTTTTCAGTGGTTACTATACTGTCCCCAGCATTAAAATCCCAACTGTTTGATATTACTCTGAACAAAGTTTCCTTATCTACAGGATGGTTTGCCAACTGGCTTGACAGTAGGTTAGAAATGCATATGAACGCTTACTTTAAGAGGGTTTAACTCGAATTCTTTTGCCAATTTGGAAACAGCTTGCATGTTTTTTTACCGATAATGATGCGTTTAAAACTGCAGTTTCAACGTGTTTGGAGTCTCCACAGAGTCGATGCAGCTCTCGTTCGATTCTAGAGGGAATAGTGTGCCTACTATACTCTTGATGATGCAGAGGCATTTGTACGCTAGAGGTGGACTTCAGGTATGTACTTGCGTTTATGCGATAAGTAACAATTCAGAAAGGAAAATTCTAAGATTTAGATTCTTAAATTTTAAGATAGTCGTTTAAAGATCATGTTATTTTCTTGGACGTCCAAAGTTCAGTATTTTTATCCGTGATTTTCCCTAAAAGATATGACCTTGTGTGAGAACTCAAAGTATGAAGAACAATGACATTAGTAGTTGGCTTGTTGGCGCAGGCAGAAGGGATTTTCAGAATCAATGGTGAGAATGCGCAGGAGGAATACATAAGGGAGCAGTTGAATAGAGGGGTCATACCGGGTAACATTGATGTGCATTGCTTGGCTGGTCTCATAAAGGTGTGTATATATATATATATATATCGACACACTCTGAATCCGCCATTTCTACCAGAAGCTCCGTATCCTTGTTTTTGATTCAGTTGTCGGGTTTTTTTTTTGGCCTTAAGGCCTGGTTTAGAGAACTTCCTAAGGGAGTGTTGGACTCGCTCTCACCAGAGCAAGTGATGGAGTCTCAGACCGAAGAGGAGTGTGCCCGACTCTTGACATTTCTTCCCCCCACCGAAGCTGCTTTGTTGGATTGGGCGATCAACCTTATGGCCGATGTTGCAGAGATGGAACATCTAAACAAGATGAATGCTCGCAATATCGCAATGGTTTTTGCCCCAAACATGACACAGGTTAGTCTGAGAAATGAATCAAACTGGTGCAGAATTCTCTAGTTGAAATAGTTTCTTGTTCTTTGACCTGCTACATGGTTTTTTGCTTTCTGCTGATTTGTTGCAGATGTCGGATCCATTGACGGCTCTGATGTACGCAGTGCAAGTGATGAACTTCCTCAAGAACCTTATTGTCAGGACACTCAAAGAACGGCAAGAATCTCCGCCCAAGTCAAATCCAGTCTCGGATTCTGGACCTTCGGATCAGAACGGAGACCAAAGCACCAGTCGTCAACTACTGCATCTCATGAAAGCAAGCGAGGAAGCGTCAAATTTATCTAACGAGAAGCAGAGAGCTTCTCCCGCCGAAATCAAAGAAGAGGAAGAAGAAGATTCTGCTGCAGAACAAGAATCTCCAGACATTAAATCTCTGATCCGAAGCTGCCCTTGTAAGATATTGTCGAGAATGAACGGTGGAGATTGGAAAAACCCAGTGGCAATGGTGAAGAAGCCTGCTGAGAGAGAGGTTGATGATTTGGATCTGAGTAAGGGAGGGAAGGCGAGCAGTATCATTGGACGTGTGAATTTCAGAGTGGAGCTTTTCGAAGCTTGGAGGTGAAAACATGCAAGTCTTGATTCTTGGTTTTTCGTTGTTCTTCCCTGTTCTGTGGATCTGTTGTGATGATGGGTTTGTTGTCGGATGGATTCTGGTTATGCCACCTGGAGCTTGCTTGTGTTTCAAGAAACCCTGCTTTGGAAGTTTTCTGCTTCTCGAAATGGTTTGTCTTGAAAGCAGAATCTGTAGTGAAAACGCGCATTCAAAGTGGTTTTATTCACTTTTTTTTTCATAAATTTTGCATGATCTCAACTGGGTTGTATTTAAAAATAAATATTTTGAATTCAGTTGATCTAATTTCATTTTGATTCGAATACAATTTTCATTTTTCAACTGTTTAGAATATACTCATATATATGTATTGCTGTCCTCTAGAATATTTCCACAACAGAAGCAAAGACAACAAAAGAAGGCCAAAATTTGTCATTCTTCTTTCTTTCTTTCTTTCTTGTTTGGACAACATCCAAAGGAGCAATCAATTAAAAAGAAAAGATCAACGGATGAAACCACAATTTGTCAAAAAAAAAAAAAGCTAAGACTTTCACAAACCTTTCCCCAAAAGAGGCTGGCAGTGGTAACCTCACCGCCAAAGTTGTGTATTTCTTCTCTTACCCTTTTCCTCCTGAGAGAAAACTGTACAGTACCCACAACTTTAAAAGACCATTTTTTTTTTTGTATATTTTGTCAGCCTGAAGCTGAGTTCCTCAAGAGGACGGTCGGCTATGAGATTTGATATGGCCAATGTTGTTGTAAGGGGATTATTACAAAAATACCTTTAAATGTCGATTTCACTTACATGACCTATCCTTCAAAAAAAAAACCTTCAAAAAAAAACTGAAAAAGAATGAAAAGACATCGTTACCCCCTTTAAAAAATACACGTGTCAACATCTGGAGAAGAAAGACAAAAAATTGGGAAGTTACTAAATTAAAAAAATTTGAAAAACCAAACAGTTTTTTTACCCCTTTTCGACAGACACTTTCATTTCTTCATAGTCGTTTCTTCTTCTTCATTTTCTCTTCACTCTGTGATTTTTCTGTGCGATCTTTCTGCGAGTTCGTCAAACTCGTCAAATTTGCACGAAGAATGGCTTCGTCTTCGCCCCCCTCTTCGTCTTCATCATCTTCGGCCCCCTCTTCGGACCCTACTTGCGAAGACCTCCAGGTATAGTTTTTTAACTCCGCAAAAATCAAATTTTTTAGGGTTTCGGATATACATTGAGATTCGGTTTTAGAATTTCTATTAAGTTTTCGTTAAGAATAGGGTTTGAAATAGAAATTTGAAAAACTATGGTTTGAATGACAAATTGTCACTGAAATATCGAAATAGGGTTTTCGGATTGGGTGAGAAACAGTGTTTTGTGAAAAAGACGGATAGAAATCGAGTCACGATGATATTGTCGACAGTCGGATGCACTAAAACATAGATTAATGGTCATGCTAGATATTAGTTAAACTTAGAGCACCCGTCAAACAAGTCAAACTAAAACACGTTATGGGCCCAATGGCCCAATCATAGTTGACCATTCACTACAAATATGTATATATATATTGGACGGTACGGTTTTCGAGATATGTAATTCATCGTGTTTGGTTGGGATTATTACAAAAATACCTTTAAATGTCGATTTCACTTACATGACCTACCCTTCAAACAAAAAATCTTCAAAAAAAAACTGAAAAAGAATGAAAAGACATCGTTACCCCCTTTAAAAAATACACGTGTCAACATCTGGAGAAGAAAGACAAAAAATTGGGAAGTTACTAAATTAAAAAAATTTGAAAAACCAAACAGTTTTTTTACCCCTTTTCGACAGACACTTTCATTTCTTCATAGTCGTTTCTTCTTCTTCATTTTCTCTTCACTCTGTGATTTTTCTGTGCGATCTTTCTGCGAGTTCGTCAAACTCGTCAAATTTGCACGAATAATGGCTTCGTCTTCGGCCCCCTCTCAATTAAGTTAGCTCCGATTGTTTTTTGCCTATCAAATTTGTTATACGGGGTGTTTATTGATATGCTCATGGTTCAGAATTGACAAATTCGCCAAATCAGAGAGTTTGACGAGTTTGACGTGTTTGACGAGTTTGACGAGTTTGACGAGTTTGACGAGTCAACGCGGTCAACCTGTGGTCAAAATTAAATTCCGATGGTTCAAAGTTGTGTACAGGGTCTATTATGACGTATTGAGCGTGTTTTTGTTATAAGGAGAGCATCTGAAAAAACGATAAATTCTACCCTAGACCAATGTGTAACATAAAGTGTAATAGAACATT